ATCCTGCATGAATGCCTGAAACTGGGCCAACCATATGTCCTCCTGAGCTCTGTCCTTGGACCTAGCTACAGTGGGAGTATGGTCTGGTGTAGATGCTGGTGAAGAGGAGTGAGAGGAATCTAACTGTTCGGTTTCCCCCAGAGGAGACCAAGTTCTGAGAACTTCCTGGGAAGTAGATTCTGCCGTGGGAGCCACCAATGGGGCAGGGGAAACCATGTTTGTCCCATTGGAGCTAGTCTTCTAGGCCCTGGCAAATTGTCTTTCTAGAGCCAAATGTCTCCTCGAGGCCTCTCGCTCAGCTGTTTTGGATGGTCCCCTTTGGGTAAGGTGCTTTGTTTTTGCTTTCTTCTTCCCCCCCACCTCAGATTCAGAGGATCTGCGTTTTTGCTGTTGTTGTGGAGGGGACAATTGGGGGACCTGCATAGCTGAATACGAGACATTGTCTGCCATTGTGCCAGGTACCCCGAGTAGGCAATACCTGGAGTGGGGAACTGAAGTATGCAGATCAGTTGCAGATAATTGGGGACTAAGAGCCCTCTCCTGCACAGAAAAACAATGGCCGGACAGACAGGTTCCTTTGGAAGGAAGGACCCTGTAGGGCAGTGACTAAAGGTCACAATAAGGAACAGTTAGATAGAGTTCAATTTCTCCTCACTTCTTTCACCAAGGTCAGTGGACAGGGATGTCCAGACCTGATAGGAATTCACCTGTAAAATTGATAAACTATTTTCCCCGATCTGTGGCTGTAAAAACCGGCCACGAGTTGTAAGGAGGCAGTTCGCTCTTTCTTTCCTTCTCTCTTCTTATTACTATAACTGTTGTATTATTGGATAGATAATTACTACCAATTATCAAATTTGTAAGTCAAGAAAAACTCCGGATGGTAGATCCACCTAAAATGGCGGATTAAACTGTGCCGTCCAAAATGGCGCCTGAGAGGAGGCCATGCCTTCCAACAGTTAACTGAAGATGGAGTCACGAGGCTCAAAATGGCGAATTTTAAGTGTTGAGGTAAACAGCCTGGAGGCCAGAGCAGCGTAAGTCCTGCGATGGCACACCCCCCCCCCCGGGACCCGCAGGTATCCGCGGGTGACTGAGAGGTTCCTGGGGACAAAAAGGGAGAGGCCTGTGGTAATTGGCCTTGCCTCCCCGAAGCGCCGATGGAGGAAGGCGGCTGAGCGGCCCTTTCGGGCCTCGAAGGCCTGCGCCTTTCAGCTGATTAGGGCGAGCGGCGCAGCGGCTCTGTCGGCCGATCGGGCTGTAAATTTTTTGCGCTTTCCAGCTGATTGGTGTACCGGAGAGTGGCGAGCGTTCCTAGTTAATAACCGGCTCGATTCCCCTGGACAGAATTTCTAGTCCCTGGGGATACTCTCACCACTCCGTCGATCGGCAATTTCCTCTGGAAACGGAGATCTGGCGACGGCTCAGAGCCCCGAGGAGAGTAGATTGACTTTCTGCTAGAACTGCTAACTGAGAGACCTCACAGAAAGGGGAAGAATTTGAATTTCTCAGGAGCTAATTTTTTTTGACTGCTACGGGCTACAAGACTGAGTCAAAACTGGGGTCACGCCCAAGGGGAGGGTGTGGCCAAAGTTTTTACCCAGTCTGCCGGGCAGGAAGGCTGTCATAGAACTCATCCATTCATTCATTCATTGGACTCTACAGCCATCCTGCTGGAGAATTTATATTGTATTTTACAGTGAAAACAGTTGGAACATGCAGCAAAATCTTGCACATTCAGGGTTCCATTCATCTAATGAAAGTCTTTTTTTAAAAAGAAAAAGATTTCATTGTTTCCACTCCATGCCTATAAATGGGCTTAATAAGGTTTGGATTTAAAAAAAAGAAAAGAAAAGAAAGAAATTAGGAGAAAGCATTTCAAGATTCCCCCCCTTCCACACTTTACATTATTTTTTGCTCATCTATAAATCTTGCTAATTGATGTCTATGGAGATTATCAGTCATCTAGGTCACGGTTGTCTCAAAAGATGCTTTTTCAAAACGCAGTTGGACTACGTTTTTTTTTCCCTTGAGGAAGTTATTTTGCTTCTCATCCAAGAAGCTTCTTCAGTTCTGACTCAGTTCTGACAGAACTGAAGAAGCTTCTTGGATGAGAAGCGAAACGTCTTCCTGAAGAGAAAAAAAAACATAGTCCAGTTGTCTTTTGAAAAAGCACCTTTGAGACTTGCAAATTGATACTTGCCTCTTAATTCTCACTGGCTGCCTACTCATCAGCATACATCATCTCAGTTTTGTGCTAGAAGAAGTTACCTCCTTTTTTTGGCAGAAAAACTTCCATACACAAAATAACTATTCAATGTCAGCAGGCACAGTTGGCTGACATATAAAAGAGAAAGCTAGCAATTCTTGCAAGCCAACCGACGGAACTTCTGCAGAACAACTGCCTGGACATGGATGTTTGACACTCAGGCAGAAATTATTAAGACTGAGCATTATAGAACAGTTGTATATCTGGGAGGGTATATAAATGTGAGAGTGGAGGTTCGTTCTCTGAGCTTGTGGACTGGTTTCCAAATGTTTCGGTACCAGGCTAGGTAACATCTTCAGAGGAATTTAGGGAATGTCAGTGTTTATTGTGAGTTTATTGAACCCGGCACTCCACAAGCAATTCCACCAACAGACACATCGACCTACAACCAGCCACGAACCCCTCAGAATTCAAATCAACCTCACCAGCATCAGTATCAACCTTCAACCAACCCCCAACCCTCCCCCAACTCTCCCTTCAACTCCCAATGACCCTCACCTGATGTGACCTCCCCATCACAAGACCCTCATCTATCGGATATGACCCACACCTGACGCCCCATGAGACCTCTCAGAAAGACCTTCATCTGACATGACTCTCACCTGACCCCTCACAAGATCCATCACAAGACCCTCACTTGACATGACCCTCCCATCATAAGACCTACTGTCCACTCAAAGCCCTTATAAGCAGAAGAACACCAATACTGACATTCCCTAAATTCTGCTGAAGGTGTTACCTAACCTGGTAATCAACCCCAAGCTCGGAAAATGAACCTCCACCCTCATCCTATACCCGAATTACAGATAGTCACCACTGTATATACATTTTTAATAGCATACAAAAATGACTGAAATATCAGTTTAGACATTTCTTACCAAAATAACTCAATATTGCCTGTTTTTTTTAAGTATAAACTTTTAGATACTACATCAGAATTTGTTACAGAGCAACACATCAAAAAAACTGAATAGTAATAATCTTTGGAGGAGGCACTGCAAATAATAACCTTTTTCCTTGGCGAACAATATTGGGTCTTTGAGATTCAGTTGAAGACAATAAACCTACATTCCCTTATTTGCCAATGTTCATGGACTGTTACATTTGGAAGAACTGATTTTCAAGTAACCCAAACATCACAGCAATTAGAATAATCAGTGGAACAAGTTGCCTTCAGAAGTTATGGGTGCTCCAACAATGGAAGTTTTTAAAGAAGAGACTGGACAACCATTTGTCTGAGATGTTATAGGCTTTTCTGCTTGAGCTGGGGGTTGGACTAGAAGACCTCCAAGATCCCTTCCAACTGTTATTCTGTTACTATATAAATGTAAAGCTGTATTACAAAGCTATCTGTAGCACTTTATGGTTTGGGGTGGGGAAGGGGTGGAGAAAGGGAAAAAAATCTTATTTTCATAGATTTTCACAGCTCTGTTGTGTATTCACTCTCTATCCTAGTCTGCACATATATAATATAATTCCAGTTCTTGATCTTAAGCTTTAAGAATTTTAGCAATCAAAGCAAATGCCATTAAGTTAACTTTGTTGGGTCCCAAGCTCTATTGTATTTGTTTACTTCTCTTGAAATGAAGAATATTTCAATGATAAACAAATTATACAGGTTAACAAAACTCTACATAAAAAAGATAGGTCCTTTCTTTCTAATAAGTGGAAATGTTTTGTGAAATATCCACTTTATTTATACAGGTGGTTCTTGTTATTTGTGGCTTAATAACCACAGATAACAAAACTCTGGATAATGAGACCGTGAGAAAAACTCATGCATAAAGTACCTAAGAACATTGCAGAAGGCTTCTTCTAAACCAGGGGTTCTCAACCTTTGCTGGCTGAGGAATTCTGGGAGTTGAAGTCCACAAGTCTTAAAGTTGCCAAGGTTGAGAACCCCTGTTCTAAACAAACCCATCTGCCCAAAACTGTGAAGAGTGACAGTCCTTGCTTACCGACCATCACAATGCTGCTATGGTCATAGCTTGCAATTACAATGATTGTAGTGTCTCAGTCATGTGATTACCATTTGCAACCTTCCCTGCTGGTTTCCCACAAAGTCAGTGGGGAATCTGGCATGGAAAGTTGCAAGGTTGCTTTGATAAATCCCACCCAGATTTCAACAAACCCATGCTCTTCTGCCTTTGAGCTCCCTGCACTTGTGCTACATTACAGCATCTCCTCCTTCAACTTGTGTGCAGTCTGTGCATCCTTCTCAGCCCCAACCCCACCCTCCTGCAGTAACCTCGCGCTACTTACAAGGGACTCCCCACCACTTCCCACTTAAAAATCCACGAACCTAGGGTTACAACGGCAATAGGAACTTCCTTGATTGCTAATTGATGTGGTCACCTGATCTCGTGCTTTATATGACATTGCTTAACAATGGCAATTGCCATCATAATCTGAGGACTCTCTGTACATGAAACTAGGCAGTGAGTAACAAGGTCTGGTCTTTATTTGCCAGTCACGGATATACAAAACAATGCAATGGGACCATGATTAATGTGGCCCACCTGTAGAAATCCACAAACAGGGACATGAAAGGTTCATAGGAATGTGGTTGCACTTGACCTTTCTTACTAATAGTGGTATCCAACTGAAGGAGAAACAACATTTAGCCAAGAAAGAAAGGCAGAAAGAAAGCTAATTAAATGTTCTTCAATACTGAAATCTGGAAAGCCTACAATTATAAAGAGTTGTAACAAATAAATCAGCTACAATCTACCTTTGATTTTCACAGAGATGGTGTTGTTTTCACCAACCAGATAGCCACATGGTAGCAGCTCAGGTGTTTCTGTGCTATTTGTGCGAACAATTTCGCCAATGCTGTATCCCAGGACACTGTCCGAATTCAACCCAAGTTGACTCACAGGATCAACATGAATGATGTATTCCTGGGAAGAGGAAGCAAAAGAGAAAATTAACATACGGATGGGTTTGGACTTTAGAACAAAAACTTCACAATCAAGTGGAATTGCCATTCCCGTGCTTTTTAGCAAATATTTAGGAGAAATTATTATATGCCATCAAGTCATTTTTGACTTCTAGCAACCACATAGATAGGCAGATCTCCCAATTGGTGCACTCATCACCACTGTAACTGAATCCATCCACCTTGTACTTGGTCATCCTCTTCCCCTCTTTCCTTCCATCTTTCCCAGCATTAGAGCCTTTTCCAGAGAGCCAGGTCTTCTCATAATGTGTCTGAAGTAGGATAATTTGAGCCCGATCATTTGTGCCTCAAGGTGAAAATTCTGGACCGATTTATTCAATGATCCATCGGTTTGTCTTCTTGATTATCCACTATATTCTCAAGAATCTTCTCCAACACCAATGTTCAAAGGCATCAATTCTTTTCCTATCCTGCTTCTTTAAAGCCCAACTTTCACTTCCACAGGGTATATCACAGCTTGCACAATTGTGGTCTTTGTAAACATAAACACATTATGGCATTTGAAAGTTTTTTCCAAGGTCTTCATTACTGTTCTACAAAGTGCTAGTTTGTGGCGTATTTCTTGACTGCTTGTTCCTTTACTGTTGATGGTTGATTCTAAAAGGCAGAAGCTATTGTCATTGTGACAAATATTTCCCTGTCACTAAGACTATGCAAAATCTTCTGAGTGTAAAATATTCCATGTTTAGAATGGCTGGTTTAATTAGTTCAAATCCTGAGAATGGTAATCTTTGTATATTCACCTGATTTGATGGTCTATTTGTCCAGGTAGGTAGTGAAGCAAAAGTTGATCCATTCCATGAGTAATTTTCTATTTAGCCATATTGTCAAATGCAATTGTGCATAGTGCACATTGATTAAAAAGTAGTTGTTATACATTTAAGCTCACAGGCTCCCATAAACAAAAACTATGTTGTTTGTTTGCTGAATTTGGGAGCAAGATTGCAGAATGCAGAAGTGCGTATGTGCATTAGGAAGAAATTTGAAACCTACAACTAAAGAAGTATATTTTTATGAAAAATATATTATTTGTAGGATGGGCTTAATTAATCCATCGCTCCTGGGATTTTTGATTGACTTAGGTTCTGGGGCAATATTGCACAAGCATTATAGCAAAAATGGACAATCAATCAATGATAGCATTAAGAATGACTAGTGATTTCCCCAATTTCTTCAAAACTTTCAATCAAGAAGTTTAATTAGGCATTCTTACCAAAAGCAGTGCTACGTGCCAATTTGTTTACAGTGTTGTCAATTGCAATTTTTGTAGTTTAATTGTACCAAATTGTAGTGCCCAGGTAGAAAGTAGAACCCAAGGTCTTTAGGTTAGATTGGATTGCCAATCCTACTCAAGCTCCAAATGTGGAAGAAGGCAATGGCAAATTCTAGAAGAATGAAGTACATTGTTCTAGAACCATTTCAGTCGGAGTTTGGTCCTGAAATTGTCTTGGTTATTCTGCTTGATGATCTTTGCAGACAGGCAAACTTGGTTTTCAATATCAAATCATCTCAGGTATAATAAACTAGTTCTTAGATAAACTTTGAGATAAGCTGTTGTTCTCAAAATCTTCTACAATTAATAACTGCTTACTTACCAACAAAACAATCCTAAGTTTTCTTTTAGGTATTAATCAAATAAATTATATATAAAAAACACTGAGCTAGTTTTCAAAATATGGCATTGTTAGAAAAAAATATCAATATAACATTATTTACCTTAAATAGTCTTCTAACAACGCCATCAAGAACATCCCATTTGGTTTTTCCACTGACTCCTATGCAGCCAATTAGGAATAAGCGAGGCCTAGAATCCTAAATAAAATTTAAGTCTGTTAAAAGAAAGGTGTTCAACGCTCAGCTCCACTCAGTCACCCTGCCTCCACCCCAATAGAAGGTATTACAGAGTCGTAAAAAGGACAAAAAGAAATGTGTTCAAATAAATAATTCAATAATTCACAATATTTTACTATGGTCCAGCAGCATTGCTCCACAATCTTTAACCAAAATTATTCCAAAATATACTCTTAAAGTTGCAAGACCTTTATATCAGATACTAACTGTAATGGAGAAAGATATTTTTATTTGCAAACAATATTGCACAATTTCTTGTGTAATTTTACATATCTTTGGATGTCTCTTGTTCAATAGTTCACAATAGACACTGTCCAAGCATCCTTCTCTATATTCTTTATATCTATCTTTATATCTATTCTCTAGATATTCTTTATATCTAAAATCAAGAAACTGGGATACATCAAAGTTAGCATTTTATTGAGACTGAAACATCAGAGTAGGATAATTTTTTTTTCTTAGACTGAAATCACATCCAAAATAATTAATTTAGCCTAAAACAAGTTCTACTGACAGAAAAGTCCTTTGCCCCTTGCTCTACATCTGATGTAGGTGTTGAATCACTTTCCTCCCAAATACTTTAAATTACTTTAAAACTAGAAAAGAGAAAAGCCAGAGGATATTTTTCAATATGTACAAGACAGAGCTTGAAAATATTTCCCCTCAAAGCTAGTTATGCTTGGTTCAGTTTCCCTATTTATTTATTTATTCTAAATTCCCAAAGCACTAAGAGGTCTGGACTTCACAACAGTTGTTACCACAATCATGGCTGCTGGCATTAAGTCTGGAGTAGAAGTCCAAGCATAATCATACATCAGGAGCAGCAATGAAATAAGGTACAAGGGGTAAGAAAAAACATATGCTAGGACAGGAGTAGGCAACCTTGGCTCTTTTATGACTCGTGGACTTCAACTACCAGAATTCCTGAGCCAGCCATGCTGAGGGGAAAGGGAGAGATTTCCAAGCTGAGCTATGCTGGCTCAGGAATTCTGGGAGTTGAAGTCCACGAGTCATAAAAGAGCCAAGGTTGCCTACCCCTGGGCTGGGAGAACCCAGGTCAAAAGTCATCTTTTCAGCACTGAAGCGCTCCTGCAATTACAACATGACCTTTCCTTGCACAACTTTTGAAAACTAAGATTAGCTTTAATAAAATTCAGTATTCTCAATTTCAATTTATGGAGGTCACGTAGCATGAGAAAGGTGACAGTGCATTCAAGAGGTACTTGAACAACATGCTGACATATTCTCTCTTTAACACCTCTAGTTATGTTTTGAGCAAGGTGGTAAATCTGGTTCAAAGGCAAAACAGGTTTTCTCAAGACCCATTTCAATTTGGTGTCAGACCTGGCTCAGAAACTGCTTGTTGAGTGATTTGGGGATCCCTCAATGGAAAAACACTCTATAATTTAAATAAGCAACGCCATAGTAACCTTATAGAGATAGTCTTCAACTTACGACCACAATTTAACCCAAAATTTCCATTGCTAAGTGAGACAGTTGTTAAGTGAGTTTTGCTCCATTTTACTACCTTTCTTGCCACAGTTGTTAAGTGAATCACTGCAGTTGTTAAGTTAGTATCATGGTTAAGTGAATCACTGACTTCCCCATTGACTTTGCTTATCAGAAGGTCACAAAAGGGATCACATGACTCTGGGACACTGCAACCGTCATAAATATGAGTCAGTTGCCAAGCGTCTGAACTTGGATGCTGCAATGATCATAAGTGTGAAAACTGTCATAAGTCACTTTTTTCAGTGCCTTATAACTTTGAACAGTCACTAAACAAACTGTGGTAAGTCAAGGACTACCTGTATTTCTTAACACGATTAATCATATTATCAAGACCAAAAATATTTCGACTCACTTCTTTCCATTTCTCTTCCTCCCGAAAGCTGACAACTATTTTAACATGCCTGCCACCTTCTTTCCGAGAAGAACCATCACTGGAGTCATCCAGCAACATATCTGTTGGTAGGAAACACAGACTCTGTCTTCAAATATTGGAGGTTATTTTTGATTTGGCTTTGGAAATTCTGACATGCATCATGTCCTAGTTGTGACTGCTACTATATGGACTAGAAATGTGTTTATAAAAGAAAGCTGAGGTTCACATACTGTTTAAAATGTCAGCTTTTGTATTTTGAAAATTATGAAGCACACTTTGAACAAATGAAAACTTCCTAACAACTGGGAATAGTTACATAAGAAACAAAGATCACATAAATATTAACAAAAAGTTTTCTTTTTTTAAAAAAAAACCTGTAACTCTACTAAATGTTTGCAATCAGATCATTGAATGTGGTTTATTTTACCTGAGGTCATAATTAGAATGCTGTGTTTATATTACATTTCAGCTTATAGAAAAACTAACTCTGTTATAGGAGAAAGATTTACTATTTCTGTTCTTCCACTTTAACCTCTTATCTATTAATTGAATTCACTGCTACAGGAGAAAACCTGCCCACTGACTTTCTTACATACTCACCAAGACTAGCTGACTCTGTGAGGTTCAGACTGTGCTGTGACAGACCCATAGATTGCCTTGGAGACGATGAAATGAAAACTTGAGATTGGGCTCTACTACAGGTGCCTTGATTTTCAGATTTCAAGCGGTCATTTTCGGCTTTCAATTTCTCAATCTCACTCTGGAGTTTTTAAAAAAATCAGTAGAGGAGGAAGAAATACAAGTACTTTTTGTTATATCTGAATGTGATCAATATATCATGGAATAATAAAAACATAAAATGTAAGGTTTGGAAAGAACCATAGAGATCAGCATGTCTAAACTCCTAGGAAGTACAAACCTATGCTCCAGTATAGTCTCTAACGATGCATTTGTATTACCTGCATCTCAAGTGGAGATAGACACAATTACCATAATTTCCGGCATATAAGACTACTCGGCGTATAAGACGATCCCCGACTTCGGAGCCGATTTGCATGCTTTAAAAAGTCGTCTTATACGCCGGAAAATACGGTACATACATGTACCCACACAATATGTAGATTCTAGCTGAGATCCTGCTTCCTTCTTTTGTAACTTTCTTCCCTGACCCTGACCCAATGAACTTTTTATTTCTCACCAAAAGATAAGGTCTATGTTTTCACTAGATATGGTGAAAACTGGTGTATTATATACACACTAGAGCTCTCCAAAGTTCAAAGAAAAAAAAACATTTGTAGTTTTTCTTCCCTTGGTTGAGCTGTGTTTTTTGTCAATCCTGCAACAAAAGTGTAGCTTTCTCAGTTAAACTGTAAACCTGATTTGCAGGTAGTTAAAGATAGTGATCCGTCTCAGGAGCAAACTTGAATAGAGTTTATTGACAACACTGAAATTATGGTTCCTCCCAGAAGATTATTTTGTTGCATTTCTATAAAATTTAAACACACAAAAACTCTCCCTGCTTTCTCCCCCTTCTAGCTCTTTTCCTCCAGCTGCACCTGAACAGAGTGGGAGGAGGTTAAAAAAAGAGAGGGGGGAGAAGGGGAAACTCCCCTTTTTTGTAACACCTCCGCTTCCTCTTCCTCCTCTTCCCTTTCCATCCTCTCTCTCTCTCTCTCTCTCTCTCTCTCTCTCTCTCTCACACACACACACACACACACACACACACACACACACAGACTTTCTCCTCCTTCTCACCCTTACTCTCCAGCTGCCACAGAGGCTCACATGGTGCCAGCCACCAGCAGTTCCAGGCTATAGCTCTGCATCTGGCATTACCACATGGCGGAAAGGGCGATGGCTGACACTCGGCTTGTGTCACCGTGCGCTCCCACAAGTCGGGCATCCACCGCGACTCCCATAGGCTCCCACAGGCTGGGCATGCCCTGGAGCACTAGGCTTACCGAACACCATGGCCCGAGTGAGGAAAGGCGGGGCCTGGCAAAGCACAGCTGGATGAGGAGAGCCCGGCAAAGTGGGGCGTGGCTGGGTGTGATGGGGTTAGGTTGGAGGGGCGGGGCGGGGTGAAGCAAATGAACTGCAGCTGCTGCTGCGCACCATCAACCCTTAAGCACTCGCCGTTTCATGTCTGTGCGCTGGGGGATGCCCAGCTGGGTTGGGGTGGGCCAGGGCTGGGGCAGTGGGGGCCAGTCCCTTACCACTTCTGGGACAGCCACGGGGGCCAAATCTAGGCCCTCCGTGAGCCAGATCCGTCCCGCAGGCCTTGTGTTTGACATGTCTGCTCTAGGGCATATAATGTTTTAATATAATTTTCCATTTTTTCCCATTGCAATTATACTTTTAAATAGTACCAAAATGTCTATTCTGGATGCAAATTTAATTGCAAATTATACAAAATAAAAACAATAAAGATAGCAAGACAGACTTATGAAACAAAAATTCAAGAAACAAAATGTATAAAAGTGCAAAACTAGATAAAGGAGATGGCATACAATGAATCACAGTGTCTTTGGCTCCCACACATTCAGTTGAGAAAACACAAGTACAACTTTCTTGAGTAATTCAGGTCCCTGCCTTATCAGGTTCCAAAAACAGCTACACAAGCAAACAAGCAAATCTGACTATAGCTTTCCTCTTCAGACCTTCAACTGAAACTTGTGGGAGTTGAAGAGAGAAAGGATAAGCTTCATGCATATTCCATCTTCTATCTACCTCCAAGCTCTTTTATGTTCGAGTAAACATCTGCAGAGTGCTATAGAAACACACAGATGTAGGAAATGTATTTTCTCAGAGTATAATTTTATCAAAGCTCGGAAGAGTCGCAGATGCATAAAGAACCAAGCAAACAGTGTTGCTTCTGATGAACTTCTGGATGACAATTAGTGGCAACTGTAGTTTAAGGCCCTTGTGTTGATCTTTGGTACATACAAAACTTCCTGTTTCAGGGACCTGATTATCTTTGCTCAATGGAAAGCATTAATAGAATACCACCAATGTCTTAATACAACAGATCTGCTTTCAGGTTCCTACCTGCATCCTGTTCATAGCTTCCCGGAGCTGATCCAGTTGATGAGCAGAACTGAGGGCCTCTAATCGGATGTCAGTCAACTTCATCTCTTTGTCTCTCAGCTCATTTCGCAGCTGCATAACTGTTTCAGCTTCACTGTCAATGCATTCTGAAATTCTGGGAATTTATTAAAAAATAAATAAATATTAAGCTAAGATATTGGGAGATATGAACAATGCATAGTAAAATTAAAAATTTGTTTCCTAAGTTTCAACAAAGATTTTTTTGATTTTATGCTAATGTTAAGATTCACAGGGCATAATTATTTGAAATTGGTATCAGTGCAAGACATAAATTTATGTATGACCTATTCTTTAGGGATGGACAATGCTTTGGAGCCAACTGGAAGAAATGTTTTAGCACATGTTAAACACACCAACATACAACTTATTTCCAAGACTGCACAGCCATACGGAATCTTTTCTTCAGCAGCCACACGGTCTGAGGAAAAGCTGTGGCTGTTTCAATGAGTCTCACACAGGGATATAGTATTTGCACTATTTGTTCTGACCAACTGCAGCTATTTAGCTTCTGTAGATAACTTGCTGCTAGATGTATAGAGTCTGTGGAAAATCCATTTACCTTGAAAATCCCAAGTACATTAAGAAGATAGAGAAGCAGCAGCAGTCACTTGGAGATTGATGGCCTTAAAGAAAGATTTAGACTCAGCAGGTGTAGTGCACAGCTGGGCCTCCCTCTATGATTCTAGAGGGCTTTGGAAACATATACCTTTTCAGACATAAAGCATTCTTTTGCACTCTCTACAGCCCAGGTTAAAAAAAAGAAAAGGCACCCTTTGTTTTCCTGGTGTCAGCTTTCTCTCTCACTGTTTCCTTCCTTTGCCTTACAAAACTCAATTGAATTACTTTCTCAATACACAAAGGACCAGGAGCATCATTTGCTGGCAGTTTTTCACATGCACATTTTATAAATACATCCTGTTCACTTTTTTAAAAAAGTAAATGTACAGCAGTCAAGAAACAACAAAGCACAGTGAGAATTCTGAAGGAATCCTGGTGCATTTCAAAGAATTCAGACGGAATATAATCTTGAGAGTTCATTAAAATTGGCCAACAAAGGAGAGGTGAATTTTCAAGGGACCCAAATTCTCCTGCTGGGGTTTAAATCCAAGCTTCAGCAGAATATACAGCTTGCCTTTGAACATTTCTACCAGCCCTCCTCCTTTACTGATAGTGCTGCCCTTGGCCTCGCCTTCCAGGTCCCTTGCTTTGAAACTCAGTTAGTAGCAGTGGCAACAAAATAAATGTGGGGACAAAAACAAGCCTTTTGTCCCAACTCCTTTTCTCTTATTTTGCTTCATGGAAATTCAATTGTAGCATTCTATAGATAAAATACATTGCACCTAAAGCCCTATTTTACTGTTATTTAGCATACTGCAAAGGTAAGAAAAAGAATACCTCCATCCTCTCCTTCCTTCATATAGCAACAGCAATAGCACTTAGATTTCTCTACCACTCCATAGTGCTTTATAGCACTCTCTGAGCAGTTTATAGCATATTGCCCCCAACAATCTGCGTCCTCATTTTACCAGCCTTGGAAGGATGGACGATTGAGTGAGCCTTGAGCTGGTCAAGATCGAACTCCTGCCTATGGGTAGAGTTAGCCTGCAATACTGGTTTCTAACCACCTGTGCTACCACAGCTCTGGACTGCTGTTCCTACCACCAGTTTTGGGGAAATGTGGATTTGGTTATGTACGTAAGGGTAAAGGAAAGAAAGCTGTTTGTTGCTACAGAAATATAAAAATGAATTATGTCATAAATCTAACCTTTTTGCATCTCCCTCCTTCTCCCCGTTTAAAACTACTGCAAATACTTTTAACAGCTCATCTGTAATCTAAATCAGGGTCCTTAACCCTAGGATCGTGGTCCGGATGTCGGGCCACTGCCTGTTGGGAACCGGGCTGTGTAAGCAGCTGGCGAGCATGTGTGTGAAGCTGCATTTGCTCAAGTGGCATGCACGTGAAACCCCCCCCCCCCAGCTGCCACTGGTCCACAGAGCCAGGAAGATTGGGGACTGCTGATGTAAACAATAAACTAAAGTAGCTGTTGGGAAAAAAATTCTCATCTCTTCAGTCACAATTTCAACTACTGATCTGGTAATTTGAGATATTTTTTAAGGAAGAAAACTCTACTTTATAATTAATATACAGGGCAAATAAGGAAACAGTCAAACGTATTTCCACTTTATAGTTAGATTCAATTTCAAATAACTTACATGTACTGTATATTACTGAAAAAATCTAAACATGAAGATGTCATTTCTAAAGTTTTTTTAAAAAAATATTCTTAATTTTAAAAGTGAGCTATTTGCAGAAATTCATATTTTGTGCTTCAATGCCTGAAGTGAAAATTGCCCATTATCAAATATTGAAGATGTCAGCAACGTTTTGTTCAGCTGCTGTTTGCAACTACAGTACAAAAAGTGATATAGGGATTTTATCAGCTGGAAAGAATAATGATGCAAAGAAGTTAAAAATGATTAAATTTACTTTAGCCTTGAAGTAGTTTAAGTGAGAGAAATGACACAAAGAGAGAAATACATGCACATATTCATCCCTGAAATAACAAGGAGAAATTCTTAATAAAATATTGCAGTCTTAAGTACAGCAATTTCTTCATAAGTTGAATGAAGTTTTAAAACTGAGGCAAATGGGGAAAAAAGAATGAGGAAGCAAATACTCCAAGATATACAAGGTCTGGATAAAAGCAAAGAAGTTATGATGAAGAAAATCTACTTCAGTGGTTCTCAACCTTTTTAATGCCGTGACCCCCAACCGGTCGTAAGTCGAGGACTACTCAACCAATCGTAAGTCGAGGACTACTCAACTGGTGCAGCACTGTTTGCAGAATGGGACTTTTGGCGGGCTCAGCAGGGCAGAGACAGCCTGGACAATTCCTATTGGCTTTTGAAAGCCAATAGAATTAGACTCTATTCAAGAGAGTCTATTCTATTGGCTTTCAAAAGCCAATAGAATAAAAAGGAGTAGCACAGCTAAGGAAAAGGGGAAAAAAAGGGTGGACTGCATTGTTTGGCGACCCCCATGAAATGTTCGTTCGACCCCAAATGGGGTCCCGACCCACAGGTTGAGAACCACTGATCTACTTGAACCAGATGAATCTCCAGAAAAATGAGACTTAAATTTGTTATAGTGTAATGTTACAATATTAAAAAGAAATGCAAGTGTTTTTGCTGATGGATTCAACTTACAGGGAATTGGAATGTGAAGTTCTGAGTAATGGCGTAGATACCACTGTACCATTGTGTGGCAATTTCGGTGAAGAAGGCAATGAGCAATCTGTCATCTCCTCAATGTCGGAGTGAGAAGATGCTGATTTGGGGGACTTCTTTTTTCCAAAAGCTTGCTTGAAAGAACTGCGTAGCTGAAAAGAAAAGAGCAAAGTAAAGACATAATGGATGTGAGGGAAAATGCTTTGTGACAATAAAGAACAAAAGAGAGAAGAGCTAACATGCGACACTTAAAAGAAAATAAAAGGTTACCAAGTCATTCCATTTGGTAGCAGTGCAAACTTAACAACAGAAATAATTCCTTCCTAATAAGGGCAGGATCTGAGTTGCTTTGCTAATGAGTGCTGGTTATGACAAGTGCTGTTTGGAAGCATTCTCCCACCTCCCACCTTTTTTTTTTTAAATAAACAAGACCTACTCCAACCTCTTTTTATCCCAAGGGTTGTTTTATTAAGATGTTATGAGAGGCTGCAGTTATGAGGTGACATGGCTCAGACAGACACTGATGCAGATACAGTTAATGGATGAGTTAGCTTATTTAAGATATATCTTCCTTACCTCATTGACCTGCCACAGGAAATGCAAGCAGAAAGGGAAGGGGAAGGAAAAAAAGACAAGTTTTAACAGATAAAGCCAAAGACAGGGAAGCACTGGATTGCTCAGACAAATATTACCCCTCTGCTCCCACAAAGCAGGCACAAATAATTACACTACCGTAGTCAATTTTTTTCTTGCCTTTTAATTTATGATCGGGATGTTTTTGTACACCTAAATAGTTGACATATGTATACAGTTATCTGAACTTCACTAAATCCAGAACAGGATGATAAATACATTTTTACCTAAAAGCTCTCTCATTTTTTCCTCAAGAGTGATTAAGTAGGGTCTTGGGAGGATTTATATACATGATTGGAGATCCTGATAAGGTTATAACATGATATGTTCAAAGTTGTAACCATGATGTGTCCCTCATCCACCATTAGTTCAATACACTAATCTATACTATGTCTAGAACAGACATGTCAAACTCGCGATGTCACGTGACGTCACGCGATGTATCAGAACTTTTCCCCCATTGCCGGCAATGGGTGCGGTTTCCTCATTATACGTTTGGCCTGCGGGCTGGCAGTTTGACACCCCTGGTCTAGAAGAACAAACCTGATCTCCTCCACGTGTTGAAAAGTGGTATGGTGCAGGAAAAACAGATCTTAATATTATGCTTAGCAAAATCAGGTCTACATATATATCTTTCCCATTTTGCCTCCGCAACCATTATGGAAGTTATTCTCTGCTCTAGAATATAAACATTTATTTGATGTCCTTAAATTTAAGGAAAAGAAATAATTCAAGACTTTTTGGTAAAAACAACTTCAGATAATCCTAAAATCTCCAGATCAAGGGCCAAGGGAGATTATCACATGATCTGGTGGTAAAGTGTCTTCAAGTTACCAAAAACAGACTTTTAGTATAACTATTTTGAAGGCCAAAATATGTTGAAAAATTAGTGAGCTAAATAATTTCTGCAATAATGTTAGTTCTCAATTATTGTTTGGATTTTTAAATTCTTATGGGATAGTGCATGGTTTATTTGGACACAACTCAGAATCTGACCATTTAGATAGACTGTAGGAAGTAAGAGCTTTAGTTCAAACAAGTACTTTTAGCACAAGGGACTTTGCATAATAGAAATCATGACCAATGAAGAAATAGGATTTAAAAATATTACAAAGCAGCTTCTCCATCAAAAGTTAAGTTTAATGATAAATATTTTGGCTTCACAATTTACAGCAATAGCTAAAACAGGCTCCATGGGAATAATAAATGTAACTTAGTACTTGCTCAAAAGTTGAACTTTATTCAATATACAGATATTAGTTTTGTCTTATCATCTAACACAGTGTGTGTTATATAACATACAATGAAGCCACAAAAATAATAACAAAATTAAAATGACCAAAATATCATAAAATCTTAAAATCTCAGGAGATTCCTGTACTTTGGGGGCAAGGTCATCAATATCATTCGTGAGATTTTGGAATTAAAACAGAAAAATTCTTGCAAGATTTAGCAATTTCTGAAATTTTGTGTGTTTTCATAGATTATAATTAATAACTTTGTGGGCAGCTGTCATTATACAAAATTGCATGGTGTCCACTACCTGAAAAGATTGTTAGCTTTTGTCTAATTGCTAAACACTTTATCTCAATCATGACTACAAATTGCAATTTGTATGCTAAATTATATCAACTGATTTACATTTAAAGCAAACGTAGACAACCCATGACCCATTAGGTTGTCCTCTCACATACTGTATGTCTTAAACACAGAGTGCTAATCCAAACCTGCTGCCATGTTTCCGTCAGCTGCGATTTTGTGATCCCCACTGACTTTTTCCCTACAAGCTTCCCAGGTTTTCCTATTAATTTGTGGCAAGGTGTTAGGAATGGTGTAAATGAGGATCAGAAGACCATGGTCAAGTGGTAACAGTACTGTGTCATTTCCATATTCCTATGGGAGTAACAGGGCCCAACATTCTATAGGTTAGCTAATTTGAAGTATTTATTTTTTTATTTGTACCTCACCTTTATTATTTTTACAAATAATTCAAGGTGGCAAACATATCCAACACAACTTCTTCCTCCTATTTTCCCCACTACAACAACCCTGTGAGGTAAGTTGGGCTGAGAGTGACTGGCCCAAGGTCACCCAGCTGGCTTTCATGGCTGAGGCGGGACTAGAATTTGCAGTCTCCCAGTTTCTAGCTAGCCACGACAAGACCAAACAGGCTCTCTTGTGTCTTGGTTGGAAATATTTTGACCTACGGCAGCAGTCCCCAATCTTTCCGACTCGGCAGAATGGTGGAGGTGGCAGTGGCGGGGGGGGGGGGAGAGGAGATGGTTTTGCATGTGTCGCTTTCACAAATGCAGGTTTGTGTGGATGCACACATTCTTCCACCATTTCCATGGCCCAGTTCTGAACAGACTGTGGGCCACGGACTGGGGATTGGGGACCCCTGCCCTATGACACACCATTTCACCCAGTTAAAGGTTACAGATACAAGAGCTTTAGTTGTATATATATTGCTTTCTTCTGTAACAGAAATGTGATTTTTGGGTCTCTGTGCCTGGGTAACTCTTGTAAAATATGTTACAAAAACTAAGATTTTCAACTTATATATTCTTTAGATTGCTTGCCCCTTTATCACCCTTCCAAGCACAATTTATCTGGAGCAAGATACAGGCATACGAGAGCCTGTTTGGTTTAGTGGTTATGGCACCAGGCTAGAAAGCCAGAGACTCTAAGCTCTAGTCCTGTCTTAGCCATGAAAGCCAGCTAGGTGACCTTGGGTCAGTCACTCTAAGCCCAACTTACCTCACAGGATTGTTGTGGGGAAAATAGGAAGAGAAAGATGTGTTGGATATTTTTGCCACCTTCAGTTATTTATAAAAAATAATAAAGGCAGGATACAAAGAAATAATAATGAAGTGTGTGATTGTGTGTTTAACTCTTCCTTCACACACTTTGCCAGTAAAATAGGTTCTCTCCCGCAGACTGCTTTTGGCCATGCTCTGTAAAATACTACATGATTGCAAAAAAATAAAAGGAAACCCCCAGATCAGAGATCCAATTCTGCCTCCCACCCCAGGCCTCATGGGACACAGTAAAAACATCCACAGATAGTCCTCGAGTTACAACTGCAATTAACCCCAACATTTCTGTTACTAAGCAAGACTGCCACAATTGTTAAATGAATTACTGTAGTTGTTAAGTTAGTAACACAGGTGCAAAGTGAATCTGGCTTCCCCATTGACTTTGCTCAGAAGGTTGCAAAAAGAGATCATATGACTCTGGGACACTGCCACTGTCATAAATATGAATCAGTTGTTAAGCATCCGAACTTCAATCACGTGACCATGGGGATGCTGCAGCAGTCATAAGCATGAAAAATGGTCGTACATTTTTTTCAGTGCCGTTGTAACCTTGAACGGTCACTAAATGAACTGTTGTAAGTCGAGGTCTTCCTGTACTGAATGACTCTAATACAGGGGTGTCAAACTGCCAGCCCACCGGCCACATGCATCATGGCGAAACCACGCCCACCCCATTGCCGGAAATGGGAAAAAAAGTCATGATACGTCACATGACGTTGCGAGTTTGACACCCCTGCTCTAATCTATCATCACAACTCAGGACAATCTTTTACTATTTGGCTCCTTATGTAAGACGCTTTGGTATATTCAAATAAACATGCTTTATTCACTGGAAGACATTATTCAAACATACCCAATTTTTTCTCTTCTTTTTCTTAGAATCACATTCTATATTGCTTCCCACACTGGAATGACTAGTAGCACTGTTAATGCTAGAGACGCTGTCTGAAGAATGTTGTCTTCTGATCCGCAAGTCAGTGGTCTGGGTACTTCCACCACTTCCTAAATATTAATTTAAACATACTTATAGACATTTGGACATAACATTTGGCCTTTCTCCTCTACTCCATATGTTTTCTATTGCTGCATCTTATTGCCTTCTGCAATCCTTATTGTTTATGTTTTTCCCCCATAAACAATCCAAGCAGCTAGGAGTTTTACACTGTACTTTTTCAACTGAAATTTCTTTTATTACACTTATCTCAGTTTCTCATCCATAATTATCTATGACAGACAGTAGTGGTAGGGGGATGATGTCATTGGAAAAATAAGAGGCTTCCAGAGGCATCTACAGCTAACCACAGTAAGTCTGAAATGACGAAATGTACTTTGTGATATTATAACACAAGTTCACCCCTTTTGTTCTTGGGTTCTGCGGTCACATGCAAGGGGTGGAATTTGCGTTATTACACACTGTTTCTCACCTGCCTGCCATTCCACACCATGGAATCACAGGCATTAGACTAGAAAAACAGCACTAATTAAGAAGAATGAAAAAAAACCAGACCAATTCTGAACAGTTGTGTAAGATTATCATAGCAATGAAAGGACAAATGGCAATGCCCATGAAAGACTGCAGTATAACAGGCAGGCAGATAAGCCTGACAAAGAGTGGGAAGACAATTTGTAATTATCTCCCCCTTTTGTTTTTCTTTTTGCAGATATCTGTAGTTTTGATCAAGCTTATACGTGTCTGGTATTAGTGCAGTTCATGTATCTGAAATACTGCTTACTGTAAAACTATAGTTGTTGGGGTTTTTTTTAAAAAAAATCTATAACTACTTAAAACTATGGTATGCTAATAATAATGTCATACTCGTAACTATTAAATAATTCGGCTATTCTTTTTAGTGTTAAAAGGATTAGGGAAAAAATTAAAGATAATTTAAACATATATTATAAGTACATTTAACTTTTTATATCCTGATTTTGGTTTGTTGATTTTGGTAGCCACCTTAGTGCTCAGCAGGGTATGATATAATATATATAAAAAGATAACATCTGATTATTGAGAAATACAGGCTTCCTGTTTCATGAAAAACTCTTTCAAGATTGTTTGATAACTATCTGCCTCTAGGAAAGAACTTTGCATCAGCTATTACCAGGAGGCTGCTACCTTGTTATTGAAAGTAAAGATTGTATTTGGGATTCTTTACCTTTGCAGGTGAGCTCAGGTGTGTTAATTACTCCATTAATGGCAGCCTGAGCAGCAGCATTTTGTTTTTTCAGTAATTCAATTGTTTTCCTTAACTCATTCAATTCAGAATCCTGAAGCATGAAGAAAACAAGCATAAAAAAAACACACTGAAGGTTTCAATAAGTACAATCAATTAGCTGGAAAAATGTTTTAACACTCTGGTAAATCTGCAGCTGGTCTCTGAGCAGCAAGCCAGCTTAACAACTTTCCAAATAGTCAGGGATTGTTTGTATCTTGATCTGACTGATCAGGTATGGCTAGAAAGTAATAAAGTACAGTTCTCATTTCACAGAAACAATTCAATTTTACACCTGAAATGACTCAATAGATTGGTTTGACCATTCCTTCAATACTATCAGGGAATATTAGCAGTAGCTCCCTTATATACTTGGAGGGCATTTTGCAGGTTTAAGATTGGCCTGTTGTTCACTATATATTTCTGGTATATTAACTTGTCTCAAAGTATAGCGGCTGAATTCCAGCATCTCATAAAGTATGTTTTCACAGTACTACCTTACCTGCTTCATGGAGCATGTCTCACTTCTTCAACCATAGGGTGTACATTCATGCACAACACTTTTTTTATTGAAAAGTTTTATACAATATACATCCCAAGACCCACCCACCCCTCCACCCCTCCCCCACTTCCCAGAGCTGAATACAGGGTTATAAATAAACAATCAAACTCTAAAAAAAAAAAAACATTACCCAACTATACAAGTAACCAAGTCCATAATGCACTTTAACTCCCTTATAACATAAATATAAACAAATTAAAAATAAACATAATAATATAAACAAATCAATATTGTTAAACCATACTAAAACTAATAAAAATTAAAAAAGAAACTATTAGTAATACTCTAAAGTTTACTCATAGGCTAAATGAAACTTTTTAATCCCATATTTATTCTGAATATAATCTATCCATCTTCTCCAAACCGAAATATATCTTTCTTGTGAGTGATCTTTTGAATCAATAATGTTTTTTCCATGTGCACAATCCATTGGATAAGATGCATTGATTTGTCAAAGATATATATTTTGTTTCCCACATTTACACTGAAATGCTTTAAAGTTCAATTGCTTTAGCACTTATAAACTGTGTAGATGAGAAGGCATTGATGGTAAAGCTTTATTCAATTTTAGATGCTTTAACCAAAACTAGGGCTTCTAAATGTATTGGACAACAGTCACCTATTCACTAGCCTTTATTAAATTTCATGGGACTTGACATCTCAGCTGACAAGTCTAGGATTGCACAATTAGATGATTCTATTATTCCAAATGGCATCAAAGGGGAAAAAATGTAACACTAAAATTATCTAAAGACTCAGTTCTGAATACATATATTTTTTTACGTTTACTTTTATAATAGGTCTACTGATCTAAAGAAAATATTCTTGATTTAGATTTAAAACATATTAGTAGATAGAAAATATGAGAAATGTATTATTTATAGCTAGGATTGTTTCTATAGATACAGAAAAACACAATACAAGTGTAATATTGGCCGGATGGAATCATTTAGTGTTGTTGTACTGTATTTCAGACCTAAACCTATGTCCCTTTATGTAAACTTTTAAAATAAGAAACCATCTGGAAACTGTAAGCTATTTGGCTACACTTGAATGGGATGCAACTGAAACTGAAAGATATTTTTGGCTTTATTATTAGCCTAATATTTTTGCTTACTCTCTAATGTACATAAGTCCTGAAATGCTAATTTTCTAGAATTGGAGAGAGATTGTCAAGAAAATGTGGATTGTAAAAAAAACACTCTGTGAATGGTAATTAGAAACCTGGGCTGACATGAATTGCTCAGATAAATGGTCAACAATCTCTTACATTCTTTCTTCCAGGAAAGTTTTATACATTGATTACTAGCAAAAGAGAAAATCATAATGCTGGCATGTGCTGAGGAAAGTTTTACTTTACTTGCTAAGTTGATCTCAAAATCATCCCTTACAATGAACTCAATTTCAAAATGTCAATTTTTGGAATCATTATTCGTGGAAAACAAATAAGGGGATGTCAAACTTGCCTTCTGTTCTGCAGTCATGGTGAGACTTTGCAGTCTAATGGTCATGTTTCCTAGGCTCTGCTCAAATGCTGCCACAAGGTGAGCCTGTGAATTAAATTATATGATCCAGTTGATTGTGAGCTTATCTGCTTTAAAAAAATGTAAAATACTGCACAGCATACTTGATAATCCACAGATGGATCCACTCTGCTGCAATTGTGATTTACAAACCCAACATAGACACTTGAGATGTGGGAACAAAATCAAATAGCTCAATACCAACTAGCTATACAGCACTTGAATGGATAGCACTACCTAACCAAGGAATAAGAAACAACTTTCCACAATTCCTTATTTAGAGCTGTGGCATCTGTTCCAACTAATAAGAGCTTTACATTATGCTGTTGCATAGTTAGTGACCAATGCAGGGTGCTAATACTGGGTCTGATACATACATATATCTCTGAAACAATGTCTAAAGCCAGGGGTAGGCAACCTTGGCTCTTTTATGAGTTGTGGACTTCAACTCCCAGAATTCCTGAGTCAGCCTACCCCTGTCTAAAGCAATGTTTCTCAAACTTAGAAATTTTAAGGTGGTACCAACAGAACAGAAGGGCTAAGAACTACACAATTTAAAGTCCACAAGAAACATGAACTTTAGTTCCCAGAGTTCTCCAGCCAGCAAGGCTGGCTGGAGAATTCCTGGAATTGAAATCTACACATCTTAATGTTACCAACTTTGAGAAACACTAGAATGGCAGCTTTTTCCTCTAACCCAGTTCTCTTTTTTATGATTATGTGGTACAGTAAGTTTTCTGCAATTACCCATCAGCATACTGTATCTGTCCTCACATTTACACTGAAAACAACCATAAAGAAGATGGAAACATTGGGATATTTGGCTTTAACTTCTGTCCGCTGCTGTAAAAACAAACTAGACTGAGACTGTGAGAAAAATGGCAGAAAACAAAACAAGCTTAGCACAGAGTACATGTATTATATAGCTAAAATGTTTATTTAAAAATACTGGAGCGAATCATTCTTGTTTGAAAAAAAATGTGCCAACTATATCAAATACACTCAAAGGTTTTCATTTCAAAATGAAATGGGGGGGAGCTTTTAAGATAAAATCAAATTTCTGACTTTTGTGATGTGAAGCCAAAATTTTGTTTACTATTGGGCAATTATTCCATCTGTCCTTTTTTTCTTTAAAAAAGACAAGATATTAATTACACCTTTGAATAGTAGCAACCTTAATAAAATATTCCTACATATATACTATGGCTAAGCCTTACACCTAAGTATTTCATAGCAAAATAGCAATGAGTCATCTCTGCTTGGTGTACTGCTTCCCAAATTTAGCAATTTTCGAATATGTGGCACTCATACCCCAGAATTCTATGGCCAACATGGCCCCTAATGAGAATTCTGGGAGTTGAAGTCCATACACTTAGAAATTGCTAAAGTTGGAAAACACTGGTTTAGTGCATGAGAGGAATGTTAAATTCATGATAAATATTCATCACAACAGCATTAATTGCAATATTTTTCCCACATTTAGCCAACCTGAGTGCTATATACTGGTACATACTTGGGGGGCAGGATATATATTTAGAAACACATCTTTTTGGATGAGTTGGTTCCAAACTATTTTATAGACAAACTCTTAGGACTGACATAAATTCAGATCTTATTCAACTGCTGTGCCAGTTTGATCAAAACCCTAGTCACATATGGAATGTCAAATATTTTTTTTGTGAAAGAAAAGTCATGTGAACAAGCTAATTTTACAGAAATATAGTATTGCACTGAATGTTCCCTGGTCACTTCAGGAAAAGAAGCTAAGTCATCCATTAAGAAAAAAGATTGTTTTTTTCCATTACAATGAAAGGAAGAAAAAAAGAGAAAAGCTGATCCCCAAATTTTCATGTTTGGAACCACAATAATTGCAATGCATGCCAACATTTAAGATTAAAGTCAACACAGAGAAACATGTACATTACAAAAATACAGGCTTCATACTGCCTAAACATTTGTAGATCCTGACATGTTGCCACATACTAGCTTCCCAAAAGATATTTGTTTCTTCAAAACAATGAGCAACTACCATAATGCAAAAAATCTAAAATGAATGTTTTTAGTCACTGAAGCAAGTTCTCCCTTTCTTTTACAAAGATATCTATCTAAAGTTATATAATATTTTAGATCATACATGTCAAACTCGCGACCTCACGTGAGTATTGGAACTTTTTCCCCATTGCCGGCAATGGGGTGGGCATGGTTTCCTCGTGACACATCTGGAGTGCGGGCCGGCAGTTTGACACCCCTGTTTTAGATCAATTTTTTTTTACCATTCATTATCAGTTTCTGTCTCTCTGAACTGTACTCACATTGGCAGTCAACTGGGTTGTCAGAGCTGAAACTTTCTCCTGGGATGCATCCAATTCCCTCCTTAGCTTGCGAATCTAAACATTATATTTCAAAACATGGTTTTGTTTAACAAGATCTTCAACACACACATACACACACACATACACACACCCTATATAACTTCTGGATAATTTTGAAGACACAATATTGGCACAGTTATAATGAAACCCATCATTATTGGCTCAACTACTGCAAATAATGCCTTTGGCACTATGGCATCAATTTTGTAGAAATTCATTTTGATAGAAGTTCCAGATCCACCCTCTTTATCCTCTGGGAAAGCAACTGCAATTCAATTATTTGGTATACAACTGATTTCTACTGTTATTTATTCTGTTGGTAGTCGTTGTTTTCCATTTACTTTACTAACTTGGCTCAGACACAATGATGGACTAAAATGTATTTATTTGTTTTGGACTAAATGTGACTTGTTATTTATAAAACTGCTATTGCTTAAACAAACTATGATGGTTTTAGCAGTGTGGTCCATTTACTAATTTGAAGACTTGTTTTAACTTTTATGGAGATATATTGTCTTTTTGTTAGCTGCTTTCAGAAATATTTGATCGGAGAAAGAGATACAGATGAAACGTCTAGTTTTCTAAATACTGGGTAAATATTACCTAAGTATTAGCAAACTGCACTTATAGATCTTCCTAAGACTTTACATAGGAATGTAGCCAGCAAAAAGATTAATTATTATGATTCAATGTTATTCAGGTTAAATTACATCATGCACTAGATTAATGGTATTACTCTCAGTTCATTCAATTCAATATTGAATCAGCAAACAACTGTCCAAGAGTTTTCCACACTCATTCTTTATATAAAATGCAAAAATAACATCCAAACAATATTTCCACCCAGTAATGCTAGGCCCACGTGGTTCATATCAGATGACAGGATACAGAGCAAAATTTATTGAGCATTTGAAAAATGAGGATATTCAAACAAAAGAAAAGAATGATACAAATATTACACTGCTGGAGATGTCTCTCTTCATAAGTTACTGATAAATATAAGCAGGTGCTTAACTGCAGTATGCTGCTTAACTGCTGGTGATTGTTAAAAGATAGTTTGATTAAATTTTTGAATGAGAAAGGAGGGAGGGAGAAGGTTGGCGAAGTTTCCAGCAGGGAAAAGATTATAGCAACAAGCCAGGACTGAACAAATCTACAGCGGGTTATGAACTTTTTAGTTGTAATAGTCATTTTGAACAAGAATATATTTTAAGTCAAAGCCAACTACATATGTGATGAAGGATCAACAGCAATGAATATAAATATGCAAGAATGTTTTGGATATAATCCAGTCCATTCCTGTAGCTGAAGCATTGGTACATGCAGTAATTCAATGTGTACAGCACAATACATATTGGAAGGTATTCCAATAAAGTTAGTGAAAGGGATTTATATTAAGAGGATTAATAAATACTTTAAGAAGCCTCACTGTTTTTTTAAAATGAAATATCATATCCAATTATCTAAACATTTAAAATGAGACCTGTCACTGAGTTTAGTAATTTTAAGAAAAACCAAGTCCTTCTTACCTCTGACTGACATTTTTCTTCAGGCTATGGGGGAAAAAAATGAGATTCTTATTTGAAATGTCTATTAAAATCAGTAGATCCATTTAACTGTTCAGCCTACCAGTAATCTGTCATTCAAAACACTTCACTTCATTTGAGTCCAAAACAACTTTTATTCAGCTATGTGATAAAAAGGTTGTCCAAACCATATATTAATTTTATTAATGTACCATTTAATAATATTTGTGATGTGCAGTTCTTATAATATGAAAATAGAAACATTAAAGTATTATTATAAATAATATTATTGCATTCTATTCCATTATGTCAGTAAATGCAGCAGTCACAATTTTTTAAAAAAATACTATTAGAATTTTTTTTTTCCTGATGTACAAAAAACTGAGTTCATTGTTTTTTGTCTTTCCTGCTAAGCTGTTCCACGATGTGTTATAGGAGTTAGGGCTTAAAATTTAACAAAAAGTAATACTGATTTCATTGATTATTTTCTGTTCTAATTCTGTAGTTACAGATAGCTGTACTAATGAATACAGGAGCTTATCAAATGGGACAGTTCCTCTTGATTGGTGGTAAATTATGTTAGGCTGCTGGCCAATTAGCAATGTGTACTTCTCTTAAAGAGCACTTTTTGTAAGCTAAAGAGATCCACTTTTCACTAGGTAATGTTTTATTTGAAACTGCTATATTACATAAAACAAATAGAAGAGCTTATGTAATTTCCTATGTGATTTCTGTTTGATAGTTCTAAGTCCAAGAGGACTTGGATTCAGTAGTTTGTCAGCCACAGTTTCCCCATCCACTGATTTCATAGGATTTTCAAACATCTTACAGAAATCAAAGGATAAGAATACAACAAAGCATGGAAGTTCCTTGAGGGAACGATTATTCCATTCCTTGTTCTAGTTTGAGCTCTAGGGCAGGGGTCTCCAAACTTGGTTTTTATGACTTGTGGACTTCAACTCCCAGAATTCCTCAGCCAGGCATGACCTAATCCAATACATAATTTAATTGGGACTTCTACTCTCTGAATATAGGTTAGTAATTCCAGAATCTTGAACATGGCTGGACACACACTAGCTGAGAAATACCACATTGGGGGGTTGTTCCAGAGTTAAAGTAAAACTGAGGAGTCAAATCTAGTCTCACTTTATAGTTTGAGCAAACCCTTCTCTCTCAGTCCAACCTACGCTAGCTGAGGAATTCTGGGAGCTGAAGTCCACAAGTCATAAAAGGGCCAAGTTTGAAGATCCCTGCTCTAGGGTCTATAGTTCTATTTAATGAACTAAATTTGTTACATTTTTTTTTTTTTTTGCTGCCAACTTCATACAGACCAATTGTGGTTAAGACACTCACCGTTGAGTAAATAGATGATGTGCTTGACACCAAAGATAGAGATGAACCATGCACTATAGGAAAGGTAAGTAAACCAATTAGCCATTGTATTTTTGTGTATATATGATAAGTAACAACAGCAGATTATTACAGATGCAGTATACATATTACAGATGTTCGTAAGGGCTACACATTTCATCAGCAGCCTATTTAAAAATTGCATCACCAATCATGAACGTATTTACTGAACATAAATCTTTGCAGACGAATCAGAAGGTAAGCTGAAATAAATGGAAGCATTATACAGATCGTAGCTCAAAATGATCTCAAAAAAATCAAGCTTTTAAAAAAATCATTATTTGGATGTAAATATTGCCTGCCTGCTGTATTTCAAACATTGCAAGGTTATGATAGTGCATGGAAAATGGAACAGAAGATGATGAGAAGCAGACAAAGTAAAGGTTCAACTGACCAGTCCAGTTTCACCATTTTGTTGGCCTGAAGCATAAACAGTAAAAGGGAGTTAAAAGATTTCGTAAATAAAGAAGACTGAATATTTGGTGTGACTAGTTTAGGTAAAGACTCATTTAATTGTAAGTCAGCAATGTAAGAGAAAGTACATTGGAATATATTTTGATATTTCCTAAAGGGAAAAAAACCTAGGAAAAAATACATTTTTGTCAAATATATTCACAAAGTGATTTACAAAATAGTTTTAAAATATTAATATAGAAATTTATTTATTTACACTTAAAAAACAAATAGAATTATTTAAAATAAATTCATCCAGCTTTGGAATCACAAGCTCTTCATAGCTAAATGGCACCTAAGTCTGTATATATATCTACAGTTGAAAATACATTGTATTATTTTCCAGAAACACTTCCTATATTATTGCTTTTAAAATGGCTAATCCCCCAGTCCTTAAAGAATAAATCTAACTGTTTAACAGATGACATTTTCTTTCTATATTAGTCTTCAGAAATCTTAATATTGCCAAGAAGCAGAGTACAATGGACTCCTAGATCTGATTCAATGTAGAATGGCAGACCATTTTGTAGAATAATTACTGCAAACTAAACATGTTGCTTTCTGATTATCTTCCTTCTAGCAACACACCTGAGCTGATGCTCAATAAAGTATTAAAACAATAGTAAAATGGCAATATATTTGTCAAAGTAGGACCCTGGATTCCTCATAGGAATTGTATACTTTTTGGTCTGCTTAAAGGCATATTCGATACTTTTTTTTATTGAAACTGAACAAATGTCAACATATATAAAATAATTGGTTTGTTAGCATTATGTGAAACATGAGTCTTGCCTGCCTACATTGCTATGGACCTTTTATTGTACAGTATATAAATATTATCAGTAATTTTAAAAATAAATAGCACTTTCAGCAAATATGTAAATCAGGCTATTATATTTTACAAACCCAGTTACTGTATATAGTATATAAGTTTACAGAAGTGACTTTATTCTGGTATGTGAGTTTTTAAAATGTGATTTTATGACATTTGAATTCTGCTTCTATTAGACATTCCTAAATCATTATAAAGGGAGCTTGTATGAAAATAAATCACCTACTATTGTTACAAATGCCAAAAAAGCATAGTGATTTCTGGTATTAAGGAGCTTACTTTTACATTCATTGAATACCAAGAATATTTTACAACCTCTTAGTTCACCAAAGTGCTTACGTGTCTGAAAATCTGAATACCAAGTATGATGTTTCTCTATTTCAAGACTGCATATTGAATTATTCCTCTTTTGAGTTCAATATTATTCTTGGCACAGAAAATATTATATTATACTTCATTTGTTATACTTTTCCTTTTCTTTCTTTTATTAAATTTATAGTTCTCACAGAACGCAAATTTCCCAAGAAATTCACAGATTTCCATCTAAAACATATATTCATGGTTCCTGTAGTTATGTAAAATGGTAAAAAAGAATTGTTCTGATCCATAAAGGTCACAAACATAAAATTTAAGGATTATACTAAGAAAAGTCTGGTCTTAAATTAGGCAATTAAAATCTCAATTTATTTTTGAACCTTCACAATATTTTTTATCTCTAACAAAAACCAGACCCGGTTAATCTACCAACTGGTCACCCAAATGCTGAGTTCAGTGAACAAAATATCAAGAGTCAGCAAAAAATAGTATTTTGTTCCACAGCTAGTTTCAAGATCTTGAAAATCTTTTTTTCAAGTGAAATCATTACCCTAATACTAGGCACAACCAATTCACATTCATTTGATAGTAGAAAAAAGAAGACTGGGAAGAGAAAGATCATTAACCTAGGAAATTCCATTACTGAACTTCAGTCAGTAAGCCAGATAAGTGGGAAGTGGGAATTACTGTTTTATGTGCCTAACTCAATATTAGAATAGAATGGAATAGAGCTGGAATGGACCTTGGAGGTCTTCTAGTCCAGCAAGTGACTGTCTAGCCTCTTCTTAAAAATCTCCAGTGATGGAGCGCCCACGATTTCTGGAGGCAAGGTGTTCCACTGGTTAATTGTCCTCACTGTCAGGAAGTTTCTCCTTAATTCTAGGTTGCTTCTCTCGTTCAGTTTCCAACCACTGTTTCTTGTCCTGCCCTCTGGTGCTTTGGAGATATTCCTATCCAGGCCTTTTCTATGTTACTTAGGTGCTTCTGTTTTTTAAATTCCAAGAGTCTTTGCTCCCTCTCACCTTTACTGTTAGGAAGAGTAAAGGCAACTTAGAGGATGCTGCTGCTTCAAGGTGATAGGTTGCTTGACATGGTAAATTCCCAGAGCACGCCTTGTGTGTGAGGAGTCTAGGATACATCTGGTTCTAGGTCCAGGAAGAGTTATCACAAGTCTTGTACCACTAATTTGAGCTAATATTCCATCACTGTCAACAAGTTGATTCACATCCCTGACCCAGTATGCTTAATGCAGCCTTTAGGACAAAAAAGATTTTTCTATCTCTGCCAGGGAAATTAAAGATGAGCTAAAAAGGTAACTATTTGAAATCAGTGATATTAGATAAGCTAAAAGCAGGGATAAGCAATATGGGAGGTCTGAAAAAGAGATCTTGCATTCAAGGGAAGCATTAAGGCTTTGTGGACTATTTCACAGATCTTTTCACGTCTAAAAATTACAAATTTGTTGATGCTTTCATCTCCTTGATTTATTTGAACCATTTTTTTTCCACCTCAAGCAAAACAGTGGCATCTGATTCCTACCCTATTTTCTGACACTGACATTCATTGAATCCAAAGCCTACTGTGTAAAAAAAGAGTTTAATATGTGTTTAGTTGTTTTTTTTTCTTTTCTCCATAAATATAAAGGAAATAAATGTTTATCAACAATTAATAAACACTTTTTGTCAAGTTCCTTCCCATATGCATATACTATTCAACTTTTTGGGGAAAAAAATGAACTGGATCACTTACCCTCTTCAAAGCCATCCCGGAATGATCCAGAACGGCTCATTGTCCTGCTCTTTTCATCCAGTGACATTGAGCTGTTCCGGAACCGGGTGTCATTGTAAGGATCATAAGGGCCATCTGCGTTAGAAAGACTGTGTGTCCGGAGCATGGTTGGGTTGGATAAGCTCATTTGGGCAGCTGTGGTGGGGCTCGCTAGAATGCAAACCAGAGATAGGAAATTCACAGATCTGTATCCATGCTATGCTACTTTCAGAAATGAACAAACCAAACTATTACTATTACAAGAATAGTAGTCTCTAACAAAATCTTGCTGAAAAATTTGTCCTGCTTTAATCAGATAAGTAGAAAATGAAGTCTTGGAAGAATCTTCTACAACATGCCTACTCCAACCATGTTATTCTATTGATTCTGAATAGTAATCAAATTACAGATAGTAACTGAAATTCTGGTAGTCAGGCACAAAGTCAGACATTGTTAGAATATCAAATCAATGAGAGTCACTGGAGAGGATACTCTCAAAGCTAAAACTCCTCGGATCAGAATCCTTCCCTTTCCACAATAAAGTAATTTGGTACCCTTATGACATTGCAATCTTCATTATCCAATAAAGAAGATAGTGTTCCTATAAAAATAAGCAAGTAAGATTTCAGAGGCAATGCTGATCTATTAAAAAGATATATTTATCATAGAATTGGTGATATGGTAATACATGTTTGGGTATCACGATATACATTTGCAGCTATTAATCTTCTGTTCTGATTTTTGGCTCCTGTCCAAACTTATTGGTACCAATTAATAGTTAGGGCTGTGCAAAACTGAACTATTTTGCTTCACAGAGATTCAGTTCTGATCACTGGAGGAATTCACTTTAAAATGTTGTCCAGATTCAGAAAAGCAAAACACTCCAATGGGAAGCATTGAGGTGAGTCATTTCATTTCACTTGGCTGTGAAATGGCAATATCTTCTATTGAAGGCCAGTGAAACAGTCAATTCAACATAGTATGACAACCTTCAGACAGCGTCTAGAAGCAGGGTGTGCATCAAAAGGGCAGTTCACTGAAGCTTTTATCAAAACAAAGAATCTCTTTGAGGCTTTGTAGCAATTTAACAACTATTACTCTATCAAGTCAAGTCTTTATGTAGTGGCTGCCAAACCATCATAGATGTTATTCATTCATAGTGAAGATTAATTAAAATAAAAAATAATCATTTTAAAAAACCAATTATAATGTGCAATTAAAACCAGATTAGTGAATAGTTTTTCAGATATAACATAAACCTTGCATGGCTCTAAAAATCTGAAAGAAATGTTGTATGTAAAAGCAAACTCCTCTGACGCACCAAATTCTAAGTTATAAATTAGAAAACTATGTGCATAATGAGCATACTGGTTTGATATGTTTCAATTGGCATTCTATATCAGCACATACCAGCTTATCAGTATCAATCACCAATTAAATTTACATTTTTTTCAAACCAGCTATACTTTTCAGAGTTGAAAGGAAATACTCACCAAGCTGAGAGAAGTTAAATCTAGTCCCAGATGGTGATGTGATGCTGGAACCAGAAGAAAATGGAGAATTGACAACATTGTCCTGAAGACCTCCTGCAGAATGCGAACGCAGCCATTCTTTTGCTTCCTCTTGATTGCGAAGTTGTGATGATGGTGTATACCTGTACAAATCACAATCAGGTTTAGCTTTTGCTCAGACAAATCTTACAGCTAAACTACAAAAGTATTTTAGAGAAAACAGAAAAACTGAAAAGAAGTCTGTCCCTGTCAGAACACACTTTTTCAGGTCAGTGGAACTAGTCTAGTTGAAATATTTGATTTTATACATATTTATGAACATTTTTGGGGGTGGACACATCAGTTTGTATCATGATTAAAGTGGGAACCATTGATTCCAGTGGACCTACTTTAAGCATGACTAAGTCTGGATTTAAGTAGGATCCTCTGAATGACAAATTCAAGCAAGTGCTTTTTTATTGGCAGCTGTTACTAATATCTGTTACCCATGAATAGGAACATTATGGATTCATCTGATAGTTTGCAATTCATCCTGGCTTATAAATAGCCACTCATAAGAGGACTATGCAAGAAACCATGAAATCTAATGTGTGACCTAAAACCAGCTAATTATTCCTTATCTGGCAAGATACTTGCAAACGTCTTAAACCTGATGCCCCCTAGTTATTTTTAAACAATTTCCAATGTTCATATTCAACAAGGCCAACAGCCATTACTGCCACTACATACTAATTTTTAAAAGTTGGTCCTACACAAATATATGTATACAAATACATGGAGGTTATTGATTTGTAGAAAGGTGTTGGGAGAAAAGCTAGAATTAGATCCTTAAAATACTGCTGCTCAAAAGCCTAACACTGAATTGCAAGAATCAATACCTGAAAATCTAGCAAAAGGAGGTCCATGTATGCTTATAGATTGTGTACATATCATGTTCATATGATTACCATCAACTGATAATGATTTAGTTGACTGACTCAACCCTTTGCACTCTAGATACATACCATATACTCAAGGATAAGCTGAGAATTTTAGGTGCCAAAATACACCTGAAAAATTGGTTAGGCTTATTTGTGAGTATATTTCCACAGCTTTTTAAAGTATCCACATCAAATATATACTTGCAGACAAACTCAAATTTTTAAGCAAAATACAATGAAAAATTGTATTCACTAGCCTTAAAATAAGCCAATAATGAAAACTAAATATATGAAAATTTCAAAGGCTGGCTTACCCACAGGTGGGCTTATATGTGAGTTTATACACAATAATACCCAATCAGAATATCAGATTGGTGAAGACTGAATTTAATACGTAATGTGATACGTGTTAATTTTTTTCCCTTCTTCCCAGTGGTAAAAATAAAATAAACACTGCCAGCAAGTAAATGTATTCTTTAAAATACGTCCTTTAAAGCACAAGTATTTACATTTCATGCATAGCTTTGCTAGGAATTTCAATATTTAATTCTCAAGTTCCAGAGTGATCTAGTGGTGTTAATTTGTACTTGGCAAGAAAAAATTAGGCCATCTAGATTTTTGCAGCTCAGATTTACTAACCCTATTAAAACTATAGATATTTTGAAGTTGTTATTTCTTATCAACTGATCTCTTATTTGGACATGCTGATAGTGAATATGGAAATTGTTTTCTAACACATCTGGAAATTGAGGAAGTCTGATTTAATTGAAAATACAAATGACAGTACTGGAAGCAGCAGTCTTCCATTAGCCCTTATTTTCAGTAAAATTTTCTGATGTTAAAAGTTGTTCACATGTATTTAGAAATTGGAGTCATAAGGAGGCACACAAACATTAGAGCAATATGCAAATGAACAAACTACAGATACCTACCTCCTTGACATTTAAATGTTTCAAGCTTAAAAAATGGTATTTGTTAATAGTTGGAGACATTTGATAGGTGGAGAAAATATTACAAACCAATTAACTTATTCAATCTTAGCCTTCCCGTATTTTACACAACGCTTGTAGCATCCAGCTCAGTGAGACAATCAAAGATGCTGCAAATAACGGTGTTTATAGCACAGAATAAATTGCAGCTGTAATTTAAGACCATCAGTTCAGTGATTGTAAAAAGCAGCAGTACAATCTAGTCTAAAATTGACCGGTTTCAAGTTGGACAGTATCTGTGAATTAGTTTAGAGCTTTCAGTTTGTGACAATCAGGTTAATAAATGGAGTAAAGTTATAAGTTTTCATTGAAAGAAGAGAGCATATTTTTTCAGTGCAATTTTTCTTGATACCAAATAGCTCATAATACATAATTTAATTTTTAATCGTTAAATCACTATCTTTTTCTTCTTAAGTACAAATACAGCTTCAGCTGTATCATTTAGCAAAATCTGCACTTTTAATGACTTCTCAGTTCTTCTTGATCTACATTTCAGAAGTTAACACTGTGAGAATAACATCATTCAGTTACTATTTCAGTCATAAAAGCTGCAAATTATTGCTTGCAAGTCAAGCTTGGTGAGTTGATTTTTGAAAAGCCAGCCAGCTATAGTTACAAATCTTGCTCAAGCTGAGAAGCTATGAAAAGAAGCATGTAGGTGGGAAGATAGAGTAATGACCTGCTTTGAGAGGAGGTGTGTGTGGGGAGGGGGATGGAAGACAGAGAGAAAGAGACTGCAGCACTCACTGCAAAGCAGAGACCACCACCAACGCTAAAGACACGGAAAACACACAGGCAAAAAAAAGTTCCAAAATCCACATGGAAAACTACTTATGCTATATGGAAACACCAATACCTGAATCCTTTCTTAGGCAAAGTGTTCCTATCAAGATGTGGGTCGCTGTAGAAAAGTTAAAAGAAAAAGAACTTCAGAGAAGAACAAAAAGGGAATTTAAAGGTCAGTTTGAAAAAAAAAGAACACACTATAGTATTAAACAACTCTGTCTTAGCACTGAAAAAGAGAGATGAAGGCCTCTGTCAAACCAACATGCAAAAACCTAACCAGGTTTAGACTCTGTTACACAGGACATGCAAGAGGGACCATGCTATATGAACTCAAACCCAAGACTGAGATCTCACAGCTCAGTTCAATCTTCTCCAGTATGGAACTTTTCTGATGGAAATTTAGGAAAGTTGCCATCCTACATATCTGGGGGACATCGAATTTGGAAAGTTGTAAATACTTATTTTAATGCAACTTATCAAGCTCATTTGGAAGCTGGACTGGCCATTTGTCTATCACAAAAGTAACTGGGAAAGTTTCTTTTCTTAATATGTACATACTTCAAATGAATGTTTCTGGGTAAATGTATACTGCTCATCTCTATGACAATGTCAAAAAGTTGCCTTCAAAAATGCACAAAAAATACAACAATCTCTCTCAACTCTCAGCCAAGATTTTTCCAGCATCAGATTGGAATTAATAATACAATCTACAATCTTTTGAAGGGTAAAAAGGGGATAAGTTGCATGAACTAGCAAATAGGTATTTAGGCATCTATGAGGAGAATTATTTATTTGCTTTCAGGAAAGATTATCATTGAAATAAACTATATTCAGATCACACCTGACCGTCTTTCAAAAACACAAGTTCTGTACAGAAACATGTGGCTTTAAGTGTTCAAAAGAGCCTTGTTCTGAATAATATCTGCCACCTGTACAAATACTTTTAGTTTAATGAGGGAATGAATAATAACTAGAATCCCTCTGTGATAGAGATGGGTGGTTCCAAAATGTGATAAATAAATAAAATAAACTAGATGTTCTAAAGTGAATCCTGAAATGATGTATCAAATGAAATGAGTTATAGTCTACAAGAGGTTATGCCTGAAAAAATGCATTTATATTTAGGATCCCACAAGATTCTTGGCTATTCTTGCTCTAATAGAATAACAATCACCTCTATGGAAATCATTTATTTATGTCGTTTATTAAACAATTAAATATATCTAATAATAATAAGTTCTGAAACTTAGTAAAGAAGAGTATTGCCTGCACGGATATAGTTTTAGTGCAGGAAATATGGAGAATTATATTCATTCTACCATTATAATTAGTTTCTAAACATCTAATGATAGCAATAATATTTCCAGTATGCTTTGCCGCATATTGTTTCCATACATTCATTCTTACAAGGAAGTACACACAACAAAATATCAAAGAGCCAAAGATTCCCAAAATTGACACTGATATATGCAACTTATTACAGGGACTAATTTCAGCCACAACAGAAGAGTTGGGAGAGGAAACCAAGACAAAAGGTGAAACAACTGAAAACATGAGGGAAAGCTGCATGCCACCAGAATGCAGAAATGCTAGTGAGAGTTTACTCTTCTAGTACAAAAAATACAGAACTTTGTAAGATCCTTAAGTTTGTTTTCTTGAAAAAAGCATTACTTTTGTCCACACCAGAATAAGGGTCATTTCTGCTGTTACTCTCACTGGCATGTCTTTGAGTGACAGTTCAACACATCCCAGTAAAATATACACACACTCTCCACAGTCTTGCACAATAGACTTTGGCTTCTTAAGCATCACAATGAACCCTCCTGGATCTTGTGTATTCCATTGCCCTTTGACAGACAGCATTACCTGTCCTGCCTCCTGGGTAAAGTATTTCTGCAGAATTTGGGACTAGCAGCAGGGGAAGAGAGAGGGCTAGAAGAAGTTCAACAAGACAGAAAAACAAAAACAACAACAAAGAGAGAGAGAGGAAGATTAGCACAAAGGGAAGAAATGGAAAGCTGTTAGAAAAAAAAAAAAGAATCCATTCACAGGTTGATAACAGTTGTTTTATGTTGTGAAGCCATAGATCATTAACAGAGTCTAGGAACTGCCTAAATAATTCAGAAAGAGCTACAGTCCTCAGTCTTTCTTTCCTAGGCCTCGCTTTTGGCCTTTGGGTTTTCTCTGTTCATATGCAGAAATAGACAAATATGACTCTTTCAATTGTTCATTTTCCTAGAAATAGTCTACTTCATTCAGTGCTCATTCTTGTTCTACAAATTGATTTCATCTACAGGTAATCCTCGCTTAACAACCAGTTGTTAAAGTTATGACAGCCACAGTAAAGGAGCTTTTTGTTCTATAAAGCTCAAAAGCCCTGACCATAGAAAATGGCCGCGCTGAGGCCATGTGTTCACATGACAGGCGGGTCAGTTTTATGCAATCTGTAGTTGGGTGTCTGTGATTCGTGATTTTTTTTTTTTGCATGTTTCTGGCATTTTTATCTGTTTTTTGGTGGGGAAAAGGCCATTCAAATGAATGAGTACACTTAATGACCACTGTGCTCGCTTAATGCCTGTCACGAATGTCTATAAGAAAACAACCAAGCTCAGAGAGCACACCAAGGACCACTCATTTCAACCCTGAGCTACAAATATCCTTCTTTGCCAGTAAAAACATCCATAAAATAAATACTATTGTATCACATTATACTATATATACATTTCTCTCTCTCTCCCGCTCTTGTCCACACACACACACACACACACACACACACACACACACACACACACACAAAATTTGGCATATTATGTATGCCAAATTAGTTAATTTCTACAGTTTATGCTAAAAGAAATCAAAGTTGCCAAGGGGGCAATTTTCCAAGTTGTGGAGAAGTGTAATTTTATCACAATTGCTGGAAGCCCTTGGTTATTTGAAATTTCCAGAAGGGGCGTTGTCTTACCTGAACGCCTTTTCTCAGCAGGATGATGTAGAGTCCAAATGGATGGGTTCTATGACGGCCTTCCTGCCTGGCAGACTGGGTAAAAACTTCGGCCACACCCCTTCCTTTGGGCGTGACCCCAGTTTTGACTTAGGCGAGAAACTTTGTTGGAATTAACCTTGCAGCTCTTTATTATATCTTTATTATAACCCTGCCTAGACCTATCCTCTGGGTGGGCTTGGACTCTACATCATCCTGCTGAGAAAAGGCGTTCAGGTAAGACAACGCCCCTTCTCCAGCAGGATGGCTGTAGAGTCCAAATGGATGGGACATACCAAAGCCCTCATGTCCCCCTGGGAGGGAATGTCTAGGCTACCGAACTCTGAGCAGATACGACTTGTTGAAGAACTCTTCTGCCAAAAGCCGCGTCTGCTGCTGCTAGGGAGTCTAAACGGTAATGTCGAATAAAAACCGAAGGTGAGGACCAGGTTGCGGCCCTGCAAATCTCTTCCACCGGAGCTTGCGTTAGCCACGCCGCAGATGTAGCTGCGCTCCGAGTTGAGTGAGCAGTCACCTGAGTGGGTGCTGGCAAATCCTGTGAGACGTAGGCCTGCGCTATGCAGGCTCTGATCCACCTGCCTATGGTGGAAGGAGATACCTTCTTTCCCATAGTTGCTGGTTGAAAGGACACAAATAATGCTTCAGTCTTTCGGAAAGCCGAGGTGCGTTTCACGTAGAAACACAGCGCTCTCCGCACGTCCAGCTTGTGCCATCTGTGTTCTAGTCTATGTTTGGGTCTTGGACAGAAATCAGGAAGCGAAAGTTCCTGAGATCTGTGAAAGATGCTATTTACCTTCGGAATGAAGGTCGGGTCTGGTCTAAGAACGACCCTGTCTTTGAAAAAGGTACACAGATCCTTCCTTACTGACAGTGCTGCTAGTTCTGAGATTCTTCTTGCTGAAGTAATTGCCACAAGGAAAGCTACCTTCAGTGATAGGTGATGGAGTGAGCATGTTTCAAGAGGTTCGAAGGGTGCTGATGTCAAGGCTAGAAGGACCTTAGGCAGGTTCCAGGACGGGTACCTGTGTATGACTGGGGGCTTTGTGTTAGATGCCCCTTTTAAAAAGGCATTAATAGCTGGATGCTGTGCTAGGGAAGTTAAGTTGTCGCAGGAGAGTACAGTTGAGAGGGCCGATATCTGTCTGCGGATAGTATTGACTGACAGGCCCTTATTAAGACCCTCCAGTAGGTAATCTAGGATATTGGGAATAGATACTGCGGTCGGGTCTAGGTGAAGCGAAGCGCACCACCTACAAAATCCCTTCCACGTAGCGTCATAAATCCTATTAGTGGACGCTCTTCGTGATGCCTGTATGATCGATATCACCCCTGCAGAATAAGATTGTTTAGTTAAGCTTTGCCGCTCAAATGCCAAGCGGCTAGTTGTAGCCACTGGGGATCTGGGTGTACAAGCTTGCCCTGACTGAGTTTTACCTTGTCCGGGGGGATCCTCCACGGAGGTGATATCGAAAGGTCCACGAGGTCGGCAAACCACGGGCGCCGTGTCCAGTGAGGGGCAATGCAGACCATTTCTGCGCCCTCCAGGATCATCTTGCGTATGGTTGCCGGTATTAATGGCAGTGGTGGGAAGGCGTACAGGAGTTGCGCCGGCCACCGGCACCTGAGAGCATCCGTTCCCTCCGATCCCGGGGACGGGAATCTGGAGAAGAACCTGGGGAGCTGTGTGTTCTTGTGGTTGGCAAATAGATCTAGGTGCGGTTGTCCGAACCTCCGGGAGATCTCCTCGAAGAGAGCCGGGTCCAGACGCCATTCCGACTGGTCCACCTTGGCTCTGCTCAGGGAGTCTGCCTGGGTGTTTGTCTCCCCTGAGATGTGTTCCGCTCTGATGGAACTCACATTGGCTTCTGCCCACCGAGACAGAGCCAATGCTTCCTTCATTAGTTCCACTGATTTCGTTCCTCCCTCCTTGTTTACATGCGCCTTGGCTGCTACATTGTCTGTAAGCACGAGGACGTGCCTCCTCGTTACTAGGTGTGAGAAATGACGGAGGGCCAGGTGTATGGCCCGGAGCTCTAGCCAGTTGATGCTGTGTGACAGGTCCTTCTGACCCCACTGGCCCTGTGCTATCTGGGTCCCCAGATGGGCTCCCCATCCGAACAGGCTCGCATCTGTCGTGAGCGTGACCCTGTTCGGTTCCCTGAATATGCTCCCCTTGAGTGTCATGGGGGATAGCCACCATTTTAGTGATTTCATCACCTGTGCTGGTACCGGCACTCTCCTGCTGGAGGTGCTGAGGTTCCTCCTCTGGTAGGGTAGGAGGAACCACTGCAACTCCCTCGAGTGGAGCCTTGCCCATGGGATGATGCCCATGCAAGATATCATCTTCCCCAGGAGCTTCGAGAGTTGTAGCAAGGGCACTCTCCTGATCTTTTGAATTTGGTGGATTAGCTTGGATATGCTGATCAGTCGCTCCTGGGAAAGGAATACCCTGCACTGTGACGTGTCTATCACCGCGCCCAGGTGTTGCAGTCTCCTTGAGGGAATGAGGTGGCTCTTGTTTAGATTGACCGAGAATCCGTGCCCCTGTAGGGTTCGGATCGTGGTCTTGAGATCTGCCCTTGCTTGTTCCTGAGATCTGGACTGAATCAAGATGTCGTCCAGATAAAACTGTACGCGAACCGGCATCAGCCTGAGATGGGCTGCTATTACAGCTAGGATTTTGGTAAATACCCTTGGTGCTGAAGATAGTCCGAAGGGTAAGGCCCTGTATTGGTAATGCCGGCCCGCGTAGGTAAATCTGAGGAATTTCCGGTAGCTGGGATGGATGGGAATGTGTAGGTACGCCTCTGTGAGATCTATTGAGGATAATAGATCGTCTTCCCTGACGCTGGCTAGGATGGACTTCAATGAGTGCATCTTGAACTTCCTGTACTTTATGAAATGATTCAGGCCCTTCAGGTCCAATATTGCTCTCCACCCTCCTGATGTCTTTGGAATAACGAAGAGGATGGAATAAAATCCTCTTCCCTCCTCTTCCTTTGGTACCCTCTCTATGGCTTGAATTGACAGGAGGTGAGCTATGGCCGAAGTTATCAGCCTCGTCTTGTGTACCTTTCTGGAGATGGGGCATCTGATGAACCGGCTTGGTGGGGGAGAACAAAAGTCTAAGGTCAGGCCATGCCTGATCGTTTCCAAGACCCAGGCGTCGGTGGTGGTCTGCTCCCAGACCTCGATGAAGTTTCCTAACCGACCCCCGATGGGAGTGTCCTGTTTGGCGTCACTTGGTACGCTTAAAGGATCTGCCTCCCGCTCCCCTATATGGGCGTCTGGACTGGAACTGGCCTCTGGCTCCCGGGCTTTGGCGATCCTGGGTTCGATCCTGTCTCGGATAGAAGGATCGTGAGCCTCTGGGCCAGTCCCAGGATTGCCCTGATCGAAAGGGCTGTCTCCATTCCCAGGGGCTTCCTGGGCGGGAGCCCTGTCTCCGGAAGTCCTGACTGCCTCTCCTGTCTAACTTCTTTGATGGATGCACTAGGATTTTTTTCTTGTCTCTGCCTTCGCTGACGTGTGGGTCCAGAATGGAACCAAACAGGGCTTCTCCACTGTATTTGGACGTCGAAAGACGCCATTTGGACCTCAGGTCTGTCTTCCAATTTTTGAGCCACAGTAGCCTTCGCGAGGCCACTGTGGCCGCAATGGACCTTGCCGCATACTTTGTTGCGTACAGTGAAGCGTCAGACACGAATTGAGAGGCCGCGAGGAGCTTGGCCAATGTTTGGTGTACTCTGACCTGGTCTGGAGGCACCGTGCCTTGCAGTTCCCTCAGCCACATGATACTGGCCCTCGCGAAGAATGATGATGAAGTGGCTGCTCTGGCCGCCCAGGCTGCGGCCATATGGGAACGCCGGAGGGAGTGTTCAAATTTCTTCTCCTCAGGTCTCAAGACCTCCGCCATGTCTCCTGGAATCGCGGAGGTAGAAAATAATGAGATCAAGGGGTTATCTACAGTGGGAACCTCTAACATGTTAGAGAAGGAGGGAGATAGGTTGAAAAGCTTTCTTTCCGCGCTGTTAGGTGCCGGTGGGCTCGCAAGTGAGGACCATTGTTCCTCCAGCGTGGTCATAAAGACCTCCGCACATGGGATGTACTTATCCTGTGGAACCTTTTTGGCAAATAGAGGATTGGCCTCCTTGCTTGTTGAGGGCTTCTCATCCTGTACTGATGTTAGGTTGACTGTGGAAACTGCCTTTATCAGGAGTGATTTTAGGAGCGCTGGGTTAAAGAGGCCAGAGCTTGTCGCCTGCTCAGGTGCGGTCTCCTCGTCCTCCGAGAGGGGCATGTCTGACATGTCCAGGTCTACTGAGTCACCCTCTCCCAATTGAGAGGAAGTTTCAGAGATGCTGGTAGGGGGCGGCCTAGCCCGTCCCTTACGGGGTGTGTGAAAGGCCACTTGCCCCTTAGAAGCCATGAACTGGGAGAATGCATCCTGCATGAATGCATGAAATTGTGCCGACCATATGTTCTCCTGCGCCTTGTCGTTGGGGTGAGGCGCTGGAGTGTGGTCGGGTGAAGAAGCTGGTGAGGAGGGATTGGAGGAATCTAACTGTTCAGTTTCCCCAGGAGGAGACCAAGTCTTGAGCACTTCCTCGGCAGTAGGTTCTGTGCTGGGTGCCACCCCTGGGACAGGGGAAACCAAATTTGTCCCATTGACATTGGTTCTCTGTGCTCTGCTAATTTGCCTTTCTAAAGCCAAATGTCTCCTCAAAGCCTCTCGCTCAGCCGTTTTGGACTGTCCCTTCTGAGAAAGGTGCTTTGTTTTAGCTTTCTTCTTCCCCCCCACCTCTGATTCAGAAGATCTGCGTTTTTGTTGTTGCTGTGGGGGGGACAATTGAGGGACCTGTGTGACTGAATACGAGACATTGTCTGCCATTGTGCCAGACACCCCGAGTAGGCAATGCCTGGAAAGGGGGAATGAGATACGCAGATCAGATGCAGATGCTTGGGGCTGTGCCCTCTTCTGCCTATACAAACAATGGCCGGACAGACAGGAATCTTTGGACAGAAGATCCTGCAAGGCAGTGACTAAAGGTCACTATAGGAACAGTTAGGAAAAGAAAAAATATTCCTCCTCACCTCCTCACCTAGTCCAGACAAAAGTACAGTTTATATCTCTCTCTCCCCCGGTCTGTGGCTGTGGTAGCAGACCACGCTCAGAACTGATAGAGGTTCTAATCTTTTATTCCTCTTCCTTCCTCTTGCCCAAGTGTCTTAATGTAAAGGAAAAAAGCGGCGGCTAAACTGCTTGTTTAAAATGGCGAATGGGAGGAAGCCCCGCCTCCCAATAGTAGCCGGATGAGCCACGAGGCTCCAACAATGGCGGGTCTTTAATAGCCAGCAATAGGGTAATTAACCGGCTTGAATGGCTCTTTTGTCCTTAAGGGGGCTGTGCCTCTCCGCTGGGGGAGAAAAAACGGCGCTGAGGCTCTGCCGGTCGGTTTGGGCGCGCTGCGCTTCTCGCGCCGCTCAGCTGATCAGCGCTCTGTTTTCCCGCGCCGCTCAGCTGTTTGGCGCTGAACGGCGCCTCAGCTCCTCCGCCGGACCGAGTGGCCTCCGTGCCACTCAGCTGCCCGGCGGGTGGTCCGGGAAATGTCCCCGCGCCAAACAGCTGTTTGGCGGGATCCGCGGAAGATCCACTGACCGGCCCGAGCCCCCCTGGCTAACCGCCCTGGCGATCCTCTCACCACTCCGACGATCCTGGCTGGGAGGCGTCGGTGTTCTATTCCTCTGCCCGGGATCCCTGCCTGCTGCAAAAAGGGGAGGAAAAAAAAAAAAAAAAAAAACTGGAAGAGGATATTCTTTTCTTTGTGAAAACTCTTCTTTCCTAAGAGCTGCTTCTCGCACTTCTACCAGGCTTCGAGACTGAGTCAAAACTGGGGTCACGCCCAAAGGAAGGGGTGTGGCCGAAGTTTTTACCCAGTCTGCCAGGCAGGAAGGCCGTCATAGAACCCATCCATTTGGACTCTACAGCCATCCTGCTGGAGAATGACGGAGGCCAAATGATATAGACTTCCATTTGACTGTCTATATTACCATACTTTTAATAAAAATAAAACTACTGTATATGCCAAAGAGAAAAACCAATCTGTATAATTATCACAGATTAAGAAGACTTGAAAACTATGGAAAGCATCTAGCAGTCGGTTTCTCAATATAACACAAACAATAACTGGGGACAGGGAAAATAACTGGTATCTTTTGAAATTTTCTCACCTTTCTGACAAGTTTGTTTTAATGCTGTTGGTTCTAATAAAGGGAGGCACTGAGTCATCTTTAGAAGCCGCAATCAAGCCACTGGAAGAATTGTGGTTCAGCCCACTTCCACTGCTGAGAGAAATATCAATGGATTCACAACTGGTGTGCAGGCTGCTGACAGACTGGTATCCAATCCCATCCTTGCTTACAGCAGATGAACTACTGGGGTTGGTACCCCAGGTCAAGCTGTTGGAAGGAGCCGAGTGAGCTGAACTGGGACTAGATGCTAATGGAGACTGATTTGTGTCTGCATTTTTACAATAAAGAGGGCTACTACCACCACTGCTCAATATGCCACTGCCAGAAGGAGATTCTGGATTTCCTTGTTGGTTCATGGTTGCATGTGGGTTGGAGATGACTACTGAATTTTTCATGCTTTCTGCTGTTGTTATGGGAGGTTGTTTATTTGGCTTTCCACCAAAAAGTCTGAAGAAGAAGAAGAAAAGGAAATCAGATATACGGTTTTTTAAATTTTATTTATTTATTGGTATGCCGCCTGTATTATATTTACAAATAACTCAGGGAGGTGAACATATCCAACAAAGCCTCCTACTTCTATGTTCCCCACGATAACCCTGTGAGGTGGGTTGGGCTGAGAGAGAAAGAAGCTCTAGCATATATGAAAAAATTATCCTTAATATCATTAACGTTATAAATTAATTTCTTCTGCTGTAAACATACCTCCTCTCAGTGAGGAGAGGTATATTGTGCTAAATTTTCGTAGTCCAACTATGGTAGTATTTTGGGGTCCTAAATAACATGTGGCATTTTTACTCTTATTGCAATTACCGTATATGCCGGCGTATAAGGCGACTTCCGCAAGCGCTAAAATCGGCGCCAAAGACGGGGGTTGTCTTATACGCCGAGTCGTCTTATACGCCAGAAATACTGGTAGTTTCCGGCGTATAAGACGACGTTCTAGGAATGCGGCTCAGCGACAAAGACAGGGGTCGTCTTATACGCCGGGTCACCTTGTACGCTGGCATATACGGTACTTTCTTCACATTTAGCTGGTCAGTACAAGCAGAAACAGTCAAAAGGGGCTACAAGATTTTGCCCCATATTAGCTAAATTTTCTTTTGATTGTGCTGTGAGAAAGAGAAAAATACTCATCTATTTACATATTAGTGGTATAGGTAGTCCTTACTTAATGACCGTCTGTTTAGCAACTGTTCAAAATTACGACAGCACTGAAGGAGAGGGACTTATGAGCAGTTCTTGTAGTAGCCCTTGATGACCAGTGTGCAATTATGATGCCACAGTATCTCATGGACATGTGATTACCATTTGCAGCTTACGTTGCCAGATTCCGACAAAGGGAAAGCTGACAAATGGCGATCATGTAAGGTTGTTTTTAATGACCATGCAGGATTCGTTTAACAACAGCAACAGAAAGTGCTGGAACTGCAATCGGTCAAGTGATGTCATATTTTATAACTATATCACTTAGTAATGGAGCTGTTGGTCCCAATTACCATTGTTAAGCACGGACTACCGTATGTATTTTTCAGAACGTGACTGCAATGTTCATAATGTTTATTATGTATTCTATATTGTGGTGGAGAAGCTATAATTGTCCTTTAAGAGAAGGCAATGTATTTACCTAAAGAGCACATACAGTCCTCACCAGGAAACTCATGTTTAGCTGATACTAGATTTCAGTCACATTCCTTAATGGCTCTATTAGAGCAGTGGTTCTCAACCTGCGGGTCAGGACCCCATTTGGGGTCGAACGACCATTTCACGGGGGTCACCAAACAACGCAGTCTGCCACTTTTTTCCCCTTTTCCTTAGCTGTGCTACTCCCTTTTATTCTATTGGCTTTTGAAAGCCAATAAAATAGACTCTCTTGAATAGAGTCTAATTCTATTGGCTTTCAAAAGCCAATAGGAATTGTCCAGGCTGTCTCTGCCCTGCTGAGCCCCCCAAAAGTCCCATTCTGCAAACAGTGCTGCACCAGTTGAGTAGTCCTCGACTTACAACCGGTTGAGTAGTCCTCGACTTACGACCAGTTGGGGGTCGCGGTATTAAAAATGTTGAGAACCACTGACTTAGAGGTAGGAGTGAGAAAATATATAATATAAATTTGCTTTCCACATTATGTTCCTAAACAAATCATTTTTGGAACAGATGACCTAAAATAACTTGATACTCTTCAGTTCTTCTTATAAATCCTATCAATCGTGCAACCTGGAAATTACCAGAATTTGAAATCCAACATATTTGGAGGATATCAAAAGGAAAACAGTGATGCAACTACAGATTTTTATTGATAAAAGGATTTCTATTCTAGACCCAAACATCAAGGATAACTTCCAGAATGTTTCTTCACATCCTTTGAAATAAACAAATTCAAATGAAAAAAACTATAAAATTACCTGCGCAGTGTAGGAGAGGCCACATCTGGGTACTTTACTCCTTGCTGGTGAGTGTTCTGGGATGCACTGGACGTTGTCTGAGGTGATGGGTTTGCTTTAACAGAGTTACAAGAGACCACACTTTCATTATCTGAGGAGATCCCTTTCTCTTTATCAGTCTGGTTTATAAAGCCTGGCAGAGAGCTCCCAAGGGCAACTTTTGTTGGTTCTCTTATTTTAGGAACAGGCAAGCCTGCAGACTTGCTGCTTATGTTGGAGTCTATGCTGCTAGTGCTAGATCTATTGCCAGCTCCACTTCTGCTGCTGGATTTGCTGGGGCGGGGTAGACTCCGATACTGAAGATTGGTTCGGGTAGAAATGGCTAAATAGCCATCATCCTGATTTTGTGAGCCATCAACACTAGTCTTTCGGCCAGTGGACCTACCTATGAGTCCAGATGACTTGGGGATTTTACCCAGAGTAGCAGCTCTACTAGTAATAGTTGCTCCACTAGCTGTAATCATGGTCACACCTACAGCTGACCCACTCTGCTTTTTAAATCCAAACATGTTTGTATTAGTACTAGCCGTTCTACAGTTATTTGCGGAAGGCTTTTTTGATTCATCCCCACTGCTTCGCCCAGCATCTGAAGGGGAACGTTTAATGTTTCCAGATTTGGGAGAAATTCTGCCCTTTTCTGAAACCTTGGCATCATCAGTTTTCCCTAAAAAAAAAAAAAAAGAAAAGAAAAAAGGAGAAAGAAAATAATTTTAAATATTGAAGGGCTTCAAATATTATGCAGAAACATTTCAATATTTTTAAGTTATTTGTAAATGATTAATATATCTGAGGGCCAGGAGAACATACTTAATATGCTGTTTAAGGCTAAAAATGTAACCAGTGTAAGGTTACAAGTTATAACTGTTTTGTTCGATTACATGAAAAACTGCATTGTTATCTAGAACTAGCATTTGAGATATGTCTCTTCAATGATCATTAAATATGCTAATTCTAGACAACAACAGTATAAATTTGCATGTAATAGAACAAAATATTTATGTAACTAACATTGAAACAGAATGAGGAAAGAAGACTTAAGAATGATATAAATGCCTTCAGATGGCTAAAAGGTTGAGAAACTCCAGTAAAAGTGAATGTGACCCTTGAGGAGGCAATCAGTTTCACTGATTGACAGTTCTTACTCTTGAGTTCCCATGGTAGCCCCCTGGGCTCAGGAAATTATATGTCTGAATTAAAGAAGTTTTAAGAAAATTTAATTTGAAAATAAAAAATTTAGTCTGTTGCTTCCAGCGTGCTATATCTGCCTATGGCACCCATACCTGCATCCTACAGCTCCTAACCGTAGCACCCTCTTGTTCCCATTACACTGCTGTCGGGGACTCCTGCCTTTTCCTGTCTAGCAGCCTATGCAGTCCTGGGTTATGACAGCAACCAGATCAGCTGGGACTGATGTCACTAAGTGATATGGTCACATGACATCACTATTCAGTCCCAACAGCCATCATAATTTGAGGACTACCTATATTATTGTTCTTATTTTCTTTGAACTGATATGATGACAAGGAGATTATAGTGTAAACATCTACCATATTGAATGTTGATGAGGAATTTTGCTATCTAATTATATACAATTAGAAATGAGAATAAAGGGAACTAAAAAAAAAGTCTCCCTCCTCCAAAAACTTTTCAGGACAACTGTGGTATAATTTGGTTATAGCAAAATCTCTTGTTGAAAATACATAGCCTTAGACAGATTTTCAAATTAAGGAGAGCTTGAAAAACAATTGAGAAACTAGCTCTTATTAAACATTCTGTTGATACCTTTTAGATTTATATAAATTAAAAGCCCTATTGATCATGCAAGCAAATTTTCTTTTCTTGATCAACCCTCAGTTAACAGTATCCCTTTAATTTCCTTTAAAGGAAAGAAGATTTATTGTTATATTCACCATCAAAGAAGAGCATTGATCAAAATACAGTTAAAATCTTGGCAGTGGATTTTTTTTTTTAAATACTAACAGCAAAAATTCTTGGCCTGCACTGCATGGCTTTTGGCTGTGCATTCCTCACCTGTTCCAGGTGTCTTCAAAGTTCCTGAGGTAGCTGCCGTTTTCATCCTCGGTGTGGTAATACCAACTTGAGCCGACATGCCCCGTCTCCAGGATCCCGTCTGTGAAATGACGATGTTCTTCCTTCCAGAAGTGCTTTTATCAGATTCATCAGACACATCAGAGGGATTCCTTCTCCATTTAGATCCAGACTCCATTTTTACACCACTGTCTGAGCCTCCATCTGATTTTTTTATTTCATCACCAGACCACAAAGAATTCCGCTCCACTTGGGAATGCTTTTCAGCGTCAGTCTGTTGGAAAACAGAAATGAATCAACTGACACTGCAAACTTTTCTTCCTCTTAGGAAGAAGGATAATATTTCAACATTTTAGTGATTCCTATAGATAAGAGTTCTGGTTTTTAAATTTTTTTTTTAAAAAATAAGAATGAGATACTGATCTACAAACAGAAAATCAAGGAATTTATTTTACATTTCTAATACGCTTAAGTTAAAAAAAAGCAAACAAAATGCAAGCCATTCAACGTGGTTACATAAAACAAGATTAAAGGGAAAAAAAATTATGAAAAGATCTGTCTTGATGCTGTGCAGCTTCCTTGTCCCTCTTATTTTGCACAATACCTTTCATTGCAAAGCACAAACTCATTCACTTCAAATATGTGTTGTGAGCTTTTCCTTTGTTCTGCCTTCTCTATCTCTTTGCTGGCAATTTGATCTGTGGAGCATGAAGAGGCAGCTTTTTGTAACACTAAAGATAAACGAGGCTCTCTCTGTTTCAGCCTTGCACAAACTTCATCATCAACTGAGGTGAGAAATGTTTAGAAGTGACAAGGATTTACTGCTCCATCTCGCTGAATTTCATTGCGGAGATTACTTATTTATTCATAATTAAATTTATCACTTTGAATTTATGGTGAGTGATTAGGGTCCTTCAAACAGAGTAGCATTCTATTTTTTCCTTTCTCATGATGATTACCACGAGACAATGAGCTGGGCTGTATTCTGCATTTGCCCTCTTTGTTCCACTTGTACTGCCTTTATGAACTATCTGAAATCATTTGCAATTCAAATCACTGACATGGAGACCAATGCCAAAATTAATTGAAAAACTCTGAACATGCTACACATATGGGGAAGCCCAAAAAAATATAGGGAGAGATCCATCCTGTGTAGGGTTTTTTTCTTCTAGTCTGGTTCTGCATCCTTTTTAATACAAATAAGTAAAACTTTTGAACTTTCATGGATTTAAACATTTATGAAATTCACAGATCTGAAAGTGCAAAATACTGAATAATTAGGCACCAAACACAAAGGCAGAAATGAAAGCAGACAGGCTTTAATTCTTCAAATGGTAAATGCTTCATCAATTTTAAATCCAGGGTTGTGCTGATAGTCTTCAAATCTTTATAATTTATAATAAATTCTGGGATCTAAAGACCATATGTTTGGAAATCACCCACTCTAAGAAAAGTTAATTAAAATAAATAAGTAAAATTAAAAAGTAGGACCTTTAAATAAATCTTTTGCAATCTTCTGATAAGCAAAGTCAATGGGGAAGCCAGATTCAGGTTACAACCAGGTTACTAACTTAACTGCAATGATTCACTTAATAACTGTGGCAAGGAGGAGCGTAAAATGGAGCAAAACTCACTTAACAAATGTCTCATTTAACAACATAAATTTTGGCCTCAATTGTGATCGTAAGTTGAAGACTACCTGTATTATTACATTATTATTATGTTGCATTATTACATACCTTAAAAACACCACATGGCCATGTTTGAATACTAATTTTTTACTATATTAAAATGCATCTAAAACAATTTATGTCACATAGTTCAAAGAAGGTATTTCCAAAGAAGAAGCAACAACAAATACAGTTTCCTGTATTTTGCCTAGATTTTCTCTATGCCTAGTAACTACTTGGTCCTTTATCCCAAGGATGCTTTTTCACGAGGCAACTGGACTTTCACATTTTTCTTTGAAGACGTTTCGCTTCTCATCCAAGAAGCTTCTTCAGCTCTGACTGGATGGTGGGGAATGGAAGGATTTATATTCCTTGTAGACAGCTGGTCATTTGCATTCTTTTGGGGAAGAGAGGACCATTGGTTTGAAAGAGGGGTCAAAATTGAACAACCCTCTCTCAACAGAGGGGGACGGATATGACATCATCTATCTCCAGTCTACAACACAGTCCTTCCAACAGTTCCAACCAGACACAGAGAAGCCTCCAGGTAGCACTAACAACGTGTCCCCTAAGGGAAGCTTTTTAAGAAAAGAAATGGTCCTGAAGCCGGACTGGTGGACTTATGGTAAAATGATACTTTTCAACTCTGATGACCCTACCCTCAAGTCGAGGGAAGAGTTAGAATCCAAGGGCTATGTTTGTCATTAGTTTACATATCAACAATTGAAAGAAATGTTTAAACTAGATAAAAAGAGTTATGGGCTTGACTTTGTTAAAAATGAATTAGAAATTTTATTATGGGGTAGTGATAACACATTCTTGCTAAGGTTTATAAAATGTGATTGAAATTGAATTTGGAAAGTGGACATGTAAAAAACTGTATGATTCAGTGGGCAAGGAATTTTGGGTATAATGTGATGCTGGAACAATGGGAGAATATGTGGATGGAAAGCTTAAAATTTACACTGAATTATAATTTAATTTTTTTTATAAGATGATGTATCATTGGTATTTAACACCAGATAAGTTATCTAGAATGTATAAAGGTATTTCAAATGAATGTTGGAAATGTAAGTGTAAAGAAGGGACCTTTTATCACTTATGGTGGACATGCGATAAAGCAAACAAATATTGGAGTAGGACTCATATCTTAATACAGAAAATTCTTAAAGTAAGGATAAAGATGAAACCAGAAATTTTTATTCTGGGCATAATAGAAAAAGGCTTAGAAAAAAAAATTGGAACTTTGATCTTACTGTATATATGTCAACGGCAGCACAACGGTATGCACAAAAATGGAAGGACATTTCGATTCCTACTATGGATGAATGGCTACAGAAGCTGATGAAGTTGGCAGAGATGGCTAAATTCACTGTTTTGATTAAAGAAAAGAACATAAGTACTTTTGTTTCCACATGGAGACTACTTCTAGATTTTATGCTTGAAGTGGAAAAAAAATGAAACTTTGATTTTGGGTTTTACTGATTAGATTGATTTGTTGTTATAGAAATGGCTAGTTTATACTACTTTGGAAAAGTAAAAAGTGGAGATTCGATGTTAATGCTTTATTCTACTGCAACAGAGGAAGTCGGTAGTCAATGTTCTTTCTTTTCTTTTTCCTTTCTCTCCCTCACTTCTCTTTCCCTTTTCCCTCCTCACTGGGTCCTACTATTTGTTTTTGTATTTTTATATTTTGTCATGGGAAAATATAGAAACCATTATTCTTGTATTTATTTGTTAATAAAATATATGTAGCCATCCATCTCCCTGAAGTTGACTCTGGGTGGCACACAATAGCAGATAATATTAAAAACATGATAATAAATATCCTAAAAACCTAAAATATAATCAAAGTAAAGAGAATAAAAATGGCACCCTCAACAATGGAACTATCTATCTATGGGAGTCTCCAGTTCCATGGGAGTCCTAGGCCTGATCACATAGCGGGGCTTTTGGAATACCAAGAGGGATGGAACCAATCTAATTTCAGAGGGAAGGATGTTCCATAAGACAGGCACTATACCAGAGAGAGCACGTCTTCTGGGAGACATCCAGTATAGATCTCTGGCCAACCTACAGATCTGCTGGGCCCTTCAGATAGCCCAGTCCCATGCCATGAAAGGCTTTCAAGGTTAAACCTAGCATCTTGATTGGGCCTGGAAGCAATGTGATAACCAGTGCAGCTTGTGGAGTAAAAAATGTAACATGCACTGTTCTAGGAGCATGAGTGGTGGGATTCAAATATGTGAACAACTGGTTCTCGGTGTGGATACTACTTCCAGAAGTCCATTCTGGGCTTGGGCAACAAAAAATTAGCTACCAGTTCTGCCGAAGTGGTGTGAACCAGCTGAATCCCACCACTGGGGAGCATACATAATTGCTTGCACCATTGCAATCTGTACAAGTTGAAGCTTCAAGATATTCTTCAAGGCAAATCCATGTGAAGTGAATTGCAGTAGTCGACTTTGGAAATATCTAGGGCATGAATGACTCTAAGTAGGGTCTGTTTATCTAGGACCAGGCACGGCTGGTGCATAAGATGAAGCTATGCATAAGCCTTCCTACCACGACAACTTCCTACTCATTGAATGGGAGTCATGATTCTAGGAGGACCCCCAGGTTGTGTACTAGGTCTGTCTTGGATAGTACAATCCTATTCAGCAACAAAGATGGTATAGATCTCAAATAAGAGGGCTCCAAACAACAAAGTCAGTCATTCTTGCCAGGGTTCAACCCATTCCCCATTCAGACATTCCTGGGCACCAGGATAAAATGGTCATGGAATGGCTTAATTCACCAGCTAGAGATATACAATTGATGGATGAGCTCACCCAGTGGTCTCATGTAGATGTTGAAAAACCAGAGGAAAAAACACCAAACCCTATGGCACCCTATCTAGATGAGGCTAAGGGTGGGACCTTTCCTCCCCAATTATTGCCAAGTGAAACCAACCTGAAGGAAAGAGCTGAACAAGCACAAACTGTGCTGTCCACCCCCCAGTCTTCTGAGCCAGTCCAGAAGGCCTATGGTATGAAAGGCATTGAGAGATCAAGAATGGCAAGGATGTACTATCTATCCATCCTACATACACCAGATGTCATCCAAAAACACAACAAATGCCTTTTCCATACCCAGGTCTGAATTCTTTTCAGGATGCAGATACTCCATTTTCTCAAAGGCCCTCTGAAGCTGTTCCACTACCACTTTATCTACCATCTTCCCTCCCAAAAAGGGAAGTGAGATATGGATGAAAATTGAACAGGGTCCATTATGGTTATAGGTTAAGGACTACCTATATTATGAAACAATGGTTCCATGGTTCCCAAGAGCATCACATTTCTTGTCTCCCAGAATATTTCCTCATGCCTGTCACCACCATACTACTTTGGTCCATCTCCAACCACCAAATAATAGCCATTTCCAGGACCCTCAGTTCCCTGACTCAGGAATCATCAATATTCTCAGCCAATGTCCCGAGACACACTGAGGCATTTTAGCTTACCAGCTCTCAGCACCAACAGGGTCTCCAAAAACAACTTCTCCCCTCTCTCCTGCTGCTCTCACCCACAGGTAAGGTCCCCTTCCCCACTCACTATTATCAGTT